ATCAATTTGATGTTGAACTTCTTGTTACGAAATTAATCATATATTATTTACGGTCCAATGGTAAGTATTGATTCTCAATAGAGTTTAAATTTTGTTAACTTTAAAATAAAACTTTTTTGTTTTCAAAAATCTAAAGACTAGTTTTTTTCATCATTTTCTTTAACTTTAAACTTACGTGACATGAAAGTTTAAGAAAAATGTTGATGTATTTTCTTTTTTGCTTTCCACACATGTACAAAGGACAAATGTAGGAAAGTTTTTGTGTTTGTGGAATGAATTTGGAGCGCATCTAAAGATTCTAAAAGCTCTTCATTCTGCATTAGTGACTTTTTTGTCAGATAAAAATTTAAGATCTTGAGTATGTAGCGAAATTAGCAGTAGCTATTGTTAACAGCTTGAAAACAGACTCAAAATCATTTTAAAATGATTGATGTTGATAAGACATAAAACAGCATATTTTGCAATTTATTCAAGTTTATTTCTGTTTCCATGACATTTCAATATTTTTAAATCTTTTAATAAATCAAAAATTCATTTAAAATTTCGTTTATCTTTCATCATTTAAAAGTCTTCAATTTTTCATACGCCAAATTAGGCTTAAAAAGGCACATCAGACTCGCATACATGCATTTGACATTTGATGAAAAAAGACATTTAAATGTTCTTTATGAACTTTTTATGATTTTTAAATCAAAATTGCTTGACGATTCTTTTTGATTAAGATTTTTGAGAAATTTGTCAAATGATTTTGCTATAAAAAGGTTTGTTTAAGATCGCATAATTTACTAATTTTCATCAGTGCAAGATTTTTTGACTTTTGATTCTTGACAAAATGACAAAATGACACAAAAAAAGCAGCATCAATTGCAAACTTAACTCCCAAAAACTATGTTAGATTGAATTCATTATCCATTATTAGATTGATTGAGATTCGATTTATATTGAATGTATGGTTGCACGTTTATATATGAAAGAAAATTTTCCAATTTGTAAGTTGCACTTGCAATGCAGTTCCATAAATTTAATGAATGATAAAATATGAAGCAATCATAAAGAAAAATGTTTTTCAAGAAGAAATTTAGAGAATTTTTCAAAACAAAAAAAATTGTAAAATATTCAGTCAATCTATATACTTGAAAATAGGGGTAATGCTTAATTGAAGTGATCCTGTAGAATCAATGATTGAACATCAATGGAACAATACATATTGTTTGAAACTTTTATAGGAATTAAGGTTGGAGGTCTCAAACTTCACAAATATTTCAGGTCACTTTCGAACGAACCCTTCAAACATGTATGTTGTATGAGTGCAAATTAAGCCAATGAATACATCAAAATGAATGGTTTGATATCAAACACAAAAACAAAGGAGAGCGAGAGCATGAAATGTGAAAAATCACCGACATGCATGCTGATATGAGAGTGAGGAAAGCAATCACAGCACATATAATAAATTTAAGTGAACATTCAAATGTTAGTTGAAGCAGTAAAATTATAAATTACTTCACATTTTGATGTCCACATTTGATAAACCAGTTAACTCAGTATGAAGCTTGTTGCTTTGGCTCTAACTCTATTCTATAAAGATAGATAGATAGATTCTCCCAAGGCGATAAAAAAGGAAAAATAAGCTAAACATTAGAAATTGTGTGGCGAGGATGCAAGACACATCAAACAGTTTCGAAAGACCTCTTTTGGGAAATCAAAACGTCAACATGGAAAAATGGAAAACAAATTGAACCATCATCACGTTGAGATTCCTTTTTTCACACACACACACACACAACGGGAAGCAGCAATTGTTAAATAAATAGAAGAAAAACTTTCTCTCGTGTCAAAGTTTGCCTGGAAAGTTAAAATGTTCTTATGTATCTAGGCGATTCATATGAAGTATCTGAGATAGATTCACATTTACGATGGGGAGTTCTGCTTAACTGTTGCATAAAAATTATTGTGACTTTAAATTAAATTGGATGTTTGTGTTTGAAATAAGTTAAAACTTTTTAGGAATTAAATTTTGAAACTTCTGCTGCTTGCATGATCGGAATGTTAAGAGTTAATTTAAAATTGATCAAACCAAAATGCGACTTCTGCTTGATTCCGAATAATATTCAAAGCTAAGTCCATATAAAGTCAAGATCTTTGGTAAATAATTTATATTTAACAGTTATTCTGAGACATTGGCAAAAGAGCTTTAACAAACTTAAACGTTGGTTTTCTATAAAATTCAATCTTATATTCAATTTCATTGATCTGCAACAAGAATTCATTTTATGAATGAAGAGAGAAAATTGTCCTGCCTAAAAATATCCTAGTTGGTCGTTTAGACGATGTTTATTGTGAGAATATAAAGCAAGAAAATGCCACCTACACTTTATGCACGAGGCAAATTGAAGCTTTTCATTCATAAGGGGCCATTCACTTATTACGTAACGCTTTTAGGGGGAGGGGGGGTCTAAGATTTTGTTACGATTCAAACAATGAATTTTGAAAGAAGTCATTTTTTCGCGTTACGTAATAAGTGAACAGCCCCTAAAAGTTTCCTTAATTTCAATTAAATTCAAAGATCTGAGGTTTATTTAAATTCTGAATGACAAAAATGATTGAAAATCATCATTAATATATATAGGGCAAACCATGTTGAAATTTGTGCGTTTTTGCACATGAAGATTTGATTTGCATGTAACTTTTTAATGGCTGATTATGAATATCTGATTAAAGGCTTAAAAGATCACAATTTATGGGAGTTTTCATTTTACATTTTGTTATGAAAGATGTGCTGCTTATGGGAAGAGAATTTTGACATTTTTGGTCAAATGTTGAAATTTGTGTGGAAAATTTTATAATTTGTGCGAAAAAACGTTGAAATTTGTGTAAATTTTGACATAATTTCAATTCTCAAATGTAAACAAACATTTTTTTGGAACTTAAATCGCGATTTATGGCAAGAAAAAAAATATCTGAATCAAATTAAAACCAAATAAGAACTACTCAGCTGACTGTTTTTAATTTATTTCTTAAGATGCATGCAAGATACAAGATTCAACTTAATTAATTTTGACTGAACTTATTAAACAGTAAAATATTCATAAAGCAAGAACGTCCTGCAAGTTTTTAAATTTCATACAGATAGATAGTGAAGTGTATAGATTAAAAGTTAAAATCAAACAATACCTTAAAAATTTGGTAAAACATTAATGTTTTTTTTAAAAATGATCTTAAATTGAAAGAAAAAGAGGATATACATATGAATACTTTAAGGAGATTAATAATTTTTTTGAAGTTTTCGAATTTTTTCATAAAAGTTTCTATAGTTTTGAACGAGGCGCATTTTTTTAACTTTTGGTTTTTAACTTTGAGGAGTTCCAATTATGTTATTTCTCATTTGCAGGGTGGGGGGGTTTTTTGCGATTTAAATCAAAGTCACAAATCAAATTGTGATTTTTGATTTAAATCTCAATGAAAATGATTTGAAAAATGATTTTTGATTTAAATCATTTTACCCAAGTGATTTATTTTTGATTTGTGATTTAAATCATTTTGTATGAAAGATTTATTTGTGATTTATGATTTATATCACATTGTATGGAGATTTTTTTTTGTGATTTTAAATCACTTGAAGGTGAAAATTTGTTTGAATTAAGCACTTTTTCTGATCCATTCATGCTTTATCATTTAGAGTTATACCAACATCTGCATACTACAATATCCAAAAACCAGAAAGGATATTCATGATTAATGATTAATGTTTTTCAATAATCTTCTGAAAATTCCCAAACAAATTTTCACCTTCAAGTGATTTAAAATCACAAAAAAAATCTCCATACAATGTGATTTAAATCATAAATCACAAATAAATCTTTCATACAAAATGATTTAAATCATAAATCACAAATAAATCTTTCATACAAAATGATTTAAATCATAAATCACAAATAAATCTTTCATACAAAATGATTTAAATCATAAATCAAAAATAAATCACTTGGGTAACCAGAAACTTTTTTTAAACGATAAAACAATATTCAAATTCGATATTTCATCACTTTTATGCTAATAAGAAGCACTTGTTATGTCCAAATAATTTAAAAGATAAAAATTTAAATTTTGTATGGGGTTTTGATTTTTTCAAATTTAGAGCTGCCTAAGGTTTCAAGACCATCTTAAATGACGTAGAAACATTTGGACATCTATTTTACATAGAACTGCATACAAATGTTCAGTATAAATGGCTTATTAGTGATGATTTGGATTTAATTTGAGCGCACAAATTTCAACATCGCACAAATTTCAACATGGTTTACCCTAATAGGGTAAATACTTTTGAAAATTGCACACTTTTGAAATTTGCACGCTCATATGAAAATAGAAAATAAAAATTTCTCTTAAAATATCCACTTCTGATAATACTTTCTTCACAAAATCTTTATAAAATTATTGTACAAATGTTGTTGTACCATTTTAAGTTGTCTAAAGGCATCAGGAAGATTTATTAATGTATTATGCCTGAAATGAAGATAGCGATGAATGGGACTGTAGGAAAATTGAGAAAAATATTCAAGAATCATCGGCGATTAAAAATTTACCGAAAAAAGAATCAAATTTTAAAAGTAGCAAGTGTTAAATTGTTTCTTAAGGATATATCCATGATAAAGCAAAGAAATGGCATTAAAATAAAATAATAATTTGCGAATTTAAAAATAGAATTAGTCTCTATTTAATGATGAATGATAGGAATAAAATCAGCTTAAATATGAGATATCCATTTCAAGGACTTGATTCTATAGTTTTACATATAATGGATCCTGTTTTGATTTCTTGTGCATGACTTTTGAATTTTTTCTTCAATTTTCAACAGCTCAAAAGTTATTTTAAGCCTTAACAATAATCTGTTGAAAAGTTCCAAGCAAATGAAATTTTCATGTACAAAGTTGTTCCCCTGCTAGTCTTAATGTTGATCTGAAAAATAACGGTTTTTGAAAATTCAAATTTATCAGACTTAAGTTAAATCTGCGGATTAAAAAGTTTATTTTTCAAAAAGGTTAAAAAATCATAAACAAAGATAAAATAATTAAAAACTCCGATAAATACATCTCGGAAGACTTCATAAATAGAATATAAATAACATTTGGAACATCCTACAATGGCTGAATATCTTGCATCAATTTTTGGAACCGAGAAAGACAAGTAAATATTGAAAATTAATTTTGTTTACGATTTTAAGAGTTTTTAATTATTTAAAATGTTTCTTACAGAGTAAATTGTTCATTCTACTTCAAAATAGGAGCATGTAGACACGGTGATAGATGTTCTCGTATTCATAATAAACCGACTTTCTCACAAACAGTCTTGTTGCAAAATTTGTATGTAAATCCACAAAATTCCGCTAAATCAGCAGATGGATCTCACTGTAAGTGCTTTAATTATGTCTATTGCTATATACTTTTCATTATTTAATGTTGTTTCATGATCCAGTGGTCGCAAATGTATCAGACGAGGAGATGCAAGAACATTATGATAATTTCTTTGAGGACGTTTTTGTGGAACTCGAAGATAAGTATGGAGAAATTGAGGAGATGAATGTTTGCGATAATTTGGGTGATCACCTAGTCGGAAATGTCTACATTAAGGTAAGCAATCTGAGAATTTTATTGAATCCAGTGATTGACAGTAAATTTTACAGTTCCGCCGTGAAGAAGATGCTGAACGTGCAGCAAAGGAACTTAATAATCGCTGGTTTGGAGGACGTCCAGTTTATGCAGAATTATCTCCAGTTACAGACTTCCGTGAAGCTTGTTGCCGACAATATGAAATGGGTGAATGTACACGATCTGGGTTCTGCAATTTCATGCATTTGAAGCCAATTTCTCGTGAATTGCGCAGATATTTATATTCTAGACGTCGTGGACGTGGTTCTCGTTCAAAATCCAGATCACCAAAAAGACGTGCATCATCAAGATCACCAAGACCTGCTCGTCGTGAAAGATCCAGAGAACCTAGAGAACGTGACAATGCTGGTCGTGAAGGAGGTAGAGATAATAATGGTCGTGAAGGAGGTGGACGTCGTGGACGATATTAAAAAATTTATCAAGCATAATATTCAATTGTCATAAGTCACTGATTTGTTTGAATTGGTTTAATTCGGTCATCATTAATAAAATGAGTTTATCAAGCTAAAAATAACGGCTGAACAAGGTTTGGATTTCTCAACAGTTTTATATAATTCAAAATTTTTTGCAATAAATTAATCAGGGTTGGTAATCTTGTGAATTTCCAAAAGAACTGTTAAATCTTTAATATGAGGTAATTCTATGTACTGTAGACATTGATATTAGGTAGAAAGGAATAGAGTATCGAATTTTGCGTCAAGAAATAAGAGTAACAAAAAAATTAAAGACATCACTAGATTACCACTGCTGGCAAGAAAGATCCAGAAATTTCTACAAAAATAAGTTATTTTCATAAGAATTTCTCGAAAAGTGTTCAATTCATTAATATCAGAGCTAAGTGACTGATTAAATTAAAAGTTCTTTAACATATATCATAAATTGGTGCAAAAAACATTAGATATGTCGGACGTAAGTGCATTAAAATTGGAAAATTATTGAAATGTTCATAACAAAAGATATAATTTTAACAAAAATAATTTATATAGATTAATCAGCTCAAAGAGAAAGGCAATGCAGCTTTAACAGCTGGAAGGAATGATGAAGCGATTGAAGCTTATAGCGAAGCTATTCAATTAGATGGATCTAATCACGTTTTATATTCAAATCGCTCAGCTGCTTATCTAAAAGCCGGAAAACTTGAATTATCCTTAAAGGATGCTGAAAAGACCATAGAACTAAATGCCTCATGGCCCAAAGGCTATTCACGTAAAGGAGCTGTATTGTTCGCTATGCAAAAGTATGATGAGTCATTTACAGCATATAACAAAGGTAAATAACCTGAAAAATTCAAATTTTGACATTTTTATGCATTAATTAACCAATTTGTAGGTCTGGAACATGAACCAACGAATCAAGCGCTGTTACAAGGTCAACAGCAAGTGAAGGAAGCCTTAATTAATTTACTACTTAGCCAACAAAATATGGATATTGATCCACCAGAATCACCAAAACAAAAACCAAAGGAACCAAGTCCACCGCCTGCAAAGAAACAGCAGCCCGCTGAAGATGAGAATCTTCCAGAAAATAAGAAACTTGCTAAGAGTGAAAAGGAAGAAGGTAATGCTGCATATAAGAAGAAAGATTTCGATACAGCTTTAATTCATTACAATAAGGCAATTGAACATGATCCAACGGACATAACATTCTACAGTAACATTGCTGCTGTCTATTTTGAACAAAAAGAATATCGTAAATGTATTGTCGAGTGCGAAAAGGGAATTGATATTGGACGTGAGAATCGTGCTGATTATAAATTAATTGCAAAGGCTTTTACGCGTATTGGAAACAGTTATAGGAAATTAGGGGAATTTAAGAGCGCCAAGACATACTTTGAAAAGTCATTGTCCGAACATCGAACACCAGAAGTTAAAACTTTATTATCGGACGTTGAGGCACTGATTAGAGAAGAGGAACGTAAAGCTTTTATAGATCCATCAAAGGCTGAAGAAGAAAAGGAAAAGGGTAACGAATTATTCAAGAAAGGAGACTTTTCTAATGCCATCAAACATTACACTGAAGCCATTAATCGTAATCCAGACGATCCTAAATTGTACTCAAACCGTGCTGCATGCTATACCAAATTAGCTGCATTTGATTTAGGCTTGAAGGATTGTGATATGTGCACGAAATTGGACGAAAAGTTCATTAAAGGATGGATTAGAAAGGGAAAAATCTTGCAGGGAATGCAACAGCCATCAAAAGCATTAGCTACCTACCAGAAAGCTCTCGAAATTGATCCAACAAACAGTGAAGCTCTCGACGGATATCGTACATGCACAATGGCTGTTCATTCTAATCCCGAAGAGGTCAGAAAGAAGGCAATGAATGATCCAGAAGTTCAATCAATCTTAAAAGATCCAGCAATGCGCCTCATTTTAGAACAAATGCAGTCTGATCCTAAAGCTGTACAAGAGTAAGTATTACTAAAAGCTCGGAAACTTCTAGAAAATTACTAATTTTACTGCTTTTTTGTTACAGACACTTGAGAAATCCAGAAGTTGCCAGCAAGATCCAGAAACTCTTGGAATCAGGCATCATTCAAATACATTAAAAATATATTTTTACAACATATTACGCTTAAGGAACAAGCAAGAAGGGTCAATAATGTACATTATAATTTTCTGCTTGCAATTTAAATACTTTTTTTTCTTGGAAACTTATCTTCTAACGCCACGCGAATTAATTAATCTTTTAAAAAAAGAGAAATACAACAACAACAACAACATTATTCATTCTTATTAAATTGTACTGTTGCACTATCCTTATTATTCATTAATTTGATATAAAAATATGAAAATTTTAAAAATCTACCAAAATTCATCTTTCAGATTGTAATGCTTATAATTTCAAGAGGTTGTTTTTAGGTATGGCGTTCATCAAGCGTCGATTTTACCGATAAAAAATCAAGATCATAACGGCTGAAAACTATTTGAAAACTTAACAGTCAGCAAATATTTGAATGTAAATCGGTTGAAGATTAACCAATTCAAAATTCAAAAATTTAACGGCTTTTCCTAAAATTCTATTTTAATGGACGTCATTCAGAAGCAACTCACTCTGCAGTTTACTAATTACCGACAATTTTAATAGCCTTAAATAAAATTGTGTGTGTATGTAAAATCAGCATAAAAGAAAATGTATTTTCTTCATCCAGTTCCTTTCACGGAATAAATAAATCTTTCCCCTTCGTTCTATTTTTAAATAAGGCAGACATCAAAAAATTCTTGAGCTTCTTTTCATTCTCATTGTGTCTTTAGTGAAGTAAGCATTAAAATTCCAGCACTAATATGTCATCAATTATTAGGATACCGCTTAGTTCTGTCCAAAACCGACGACCACAAGTAAAAAAGGGTCTTAATATTGGATTCTGTCGTGTATGTACTTGTAAGTGATATCTGCTGGGACTTTTCGCAATTGTGTGTTACTTATCAACTCAAAATATGTTTGACTTAGGCTTTAATGTTGAATTCTTGACCTCAAAATGTGCTCTGTTGAAGCTGTTCGAAATTATCATTGGAAGTTGCTGTGAGATGCTGCTTGTGAGATTCGCACTTGGTGCTGCGACTGAAATTGGTAGGTCGATTGATATTTTTGACCGAGGATTGCTAGTTAAGGCTCGTTCACAAATCACATCTATCAAAAAAAATTGGATTGAACTCCTTATTTGCTCATGCACCCACCTTCTAGAAACTTTATTTTATTGTTTTAGAACCTTTACATACCCCACCCTTCCTCTAAAACGATTCTAACATTTAATAGACGCAATTTTTGAACGACCCCAAATTAAAATTAATTAATCTTCCTAAATGTTTGATTTCCAGGCGACGCATTCTTCAGTTTCCACTCGACAGTCACATCATGTCTCTTAACAACATCGCTATTAATGATCTCTTACTTCCTCAGCGCAAAAACATACAATTTAATGCAGCAAACGGTATTTGAGATATTTTTCAACACATTTGCATGCTTCCTGTACGCGAGTTCAAGTTCCTACATTGGATTCGCGTCAAACTTTTCACTTTATCCCCGTTTTGTATCATCATCATCTGATGCTGCATTTCCTGCCTTAGTTGCAGCATATGTAAGTTGACAAGCATAAGGGCAATGTTAATGGCACGTGTTTATTTATAACACAATTTTGTCTATTTATAGTATCTTGGTGCTATATTATCTATATGCTATGGAATAGATGCATGGACGTGCTACAAAGTCTTCAAATCAGGGGCGTAGTTGGATTTATTTCTAGAGAGTCCTTAAAAACCATTAAATTTAAATCATTTGAAATAAAATAAAAAAAAATCTATTTTTAAAATTTTTGTATTATTTTATTGCAATAATATTCATTTTATATTAGGGTTGATACAAATTAAGGAGGAAAATTTTTCTGTTACATTTTATTTTTTTCTTTATTTTTTGAATTAAACTTTTCTTTAAAATGTATGTAAAGAGGCAGTATTTGGCAGATCAATATTTTTTCAATAATAAAGTCTATGACTAAATTAAGATAAAAGAATTCTTTTTTTTTATGTAACATAATCAAATACACATCCAATTGGATATGTCAAATTTGAAAAAATGCATTCTTTCATACAAGTTTTAAGGAAATTAAAGTGGATTTTACACATTTTTTGGTAACATATGGCATGTTTTGTAGTTTTTCAATTCTATTTTTAAAAAAAAAATCTTTTGGTTTATGTTTATCTAATATTAATTTCCTAAAATTCAATAGTTTTACTATAATTCAATATTTAACATTGAAAGTAGAAAAAAAGGATGTATTTTAAAGATTAAGGAAGAATTTTGAAAAATTATTTTTAAATTCTATCGGCATTCAGCAATCAGGAAAAGTATTACAAAATAAATTTGAGTTTTACATTCGTATGCAAACATTACATCTTGAAACTTTTGTATGAAGTGATCCTGCTTTCAATGTTTGTTGTTCTGGTGCACGGAATTGATTTTGTTGATCGATTGTTACCATCCAGAAACTTGTCATTGTCTCGTAGTAGTGACATTGACCTTTGCCGCCATTACATTCAATAAATGGTGTTGCACGGAAGTCTTGCAAGCATGAACCTGGATCGGCGAGTCCTTGACCACCACCTCCATGTCCGACAGCAGTGTGCTGGATAAAATAGAAGTAAAACTCAGTTAAACATCACCAAACGATTGCATATACTCACCATCATGAAGGTATAACCAATCCAAAGACTGTCCCAACCGTATGGACATTCAGGAACTTGAACTGATTGACTGTGGATGGCAATAACATTGGATGGAACTTCACAGACACTACAACGTGAAATGTATGGACGAACTTCGTAATCTGCGACTGGCATCATTGGAATTTCCTTTGATGTTGAGAGCCAGAATGTACGATCGTTACGTGATGCATAATTACAGACATTATTCTGACCACAAGCCATAACTGGCATTGTTGAGAATTTACGAACACATGAGCCTGGTGAACCTAAATCTTGATTAGCTGGATAATCGTTTCCATCAACGTACATGAGTGAGTAACCGTCCCATAATTTCGTATGTCCTGCATCACATTGTGGGATTTCTTCTGACTGACTGTGCTTAACCAATAAGATACCAGTAAGATAATCTGGTGCATGTGTGCATGGTGCACCGGAATTACCCTTGAAACCTTGAAGACCTGCTGCTCCGTCACGTCCCGGTGGACCAGTTAAACCGATTTCGCCTAATATTTTATACAATTGGATTACTCTTATTAAGGAATAGATTCACAAGAAGTTACCTCTTAATCCAGGTGGACCACGTTGACCTTCAAGACCAATAACACCGATTGCTCCTTGTTCACCACGTTCTCCTTGTAAACCAATCAAACCAGGCATACCAGGTGGTCCTGTTTCTCCCTTTTGCCCAGGCAAACCTTTAAATAGATCAATTAGTAAAGCTTGATAATACTGGAACTTTAAAAATACAAACCTGGTTTTCCTGGTGCTCCAATAATTGGTGAAGGGGCTGGAATACCAGGCTCTCCCTTTTCTCCCATGAGACCTAAAGATAACGTGACATATTATAGTTTTGAAAAGCTTAATGAAATTTTTATGCTAGTTTACCTGTTTCTCCAGTGTATCCCATAGAACCCTTCATTCCAACCAATCCTCGGTCACCTAGTTCATTATTAAGTTATTTTATTAATAAGTTCGAGGATAATTGGTTTAAAACTAATCATACCTGGCTGTCCAGGAGCTCCATCGAATCCAGGAAGACCAATATCACCCTGTAATAATATAAGTTTGCTTTATTTCAGGTTTTTAACCTATTGAATTAATCTTGGTAAATCTGGTAAAAAAAATTTGGCACGTAAAAATTTTTGTTCGAACTTTAACGCGTTTTAAGAGCTAATCTTTTTAAAGATTAATGTCACAACAATGGTTTAAATATCATTAAGATTAATTAAGAGAAAAACTAAAACTAGATTGCAGAATTTCAATAAAGAATTTCTTTGATGGAGTTTTATAACAGAAAAAAATATTAAAATTTCACTTTTCAATTGACATCATTGGTCAATTGTTGTCTCCATGTGCACACTTAATGGTTAAACATCCATTAACAATTGTAGAGAGAATTGATTTTTAATGGATTATAACTGTATTTTATAAAACAAAAAAGAGTTCTTACCTTATCACCCTTCATTCCTGGAATTCCATTTCTTCCATCCAAACCTGGTGCACCTTGATCACCTTTAGGTCCAGTTGGTCCAAGTGGGCCTGGGAATCTATATGTTTAAACTATTAATTTCTGAATTTTGTCAGAATTAAATTTAATTATTTTACCCTTGATCTCCCTTTGGTCCTGGGAAGCCTCGTTCACCTATGCGAATCAATAAAATAGACTTAAATCACACTATCTAGAATCGACTCGTTCCATACCCTTTCTTCCTTCCAATCCAGTGTTTCCGTCTCTACCAGGCAAGCCTAAGAAAAAAAAATCACAAAAAATTTCGTATTTTAAGCCATCGTAAAAGAACAGTAACAAAAGTTATTTAATAAGCTTATGCAAATGAACACAATGAAGCTATTGACCTTACAGGTTTCTTCTTAAAATACTGATACGCGAATCATACTGACTAATAAGAAACTTAACGAAAACATCTACCGACTACATTTCCCGCACTTAAATTATATTTCGTGAGCAAATGTCACAAAAAACATTTTCTTTTGCCTTATCATTTGCTTTTATTTCCCTCTCACGATTTATTTACGTTGTGTCAATCGCCAGAGACGGCAGCGACAACGTAAGCAATTATTTTTTCGTTGTGGAGCGTCAATAAAAGTTTTTTTTTTTTGTGTTTTTTGCTCATACTTTTTGAGTAAAGCTCTCAGTCGAGTTTGTGATCTTAAACAGTGAACACAACTTGAGCAGTTTTAGCTGATTCGGTATTGTTATCAGCAACATTTCTAAGGAGCTTTTGTACTAGAAATAGTGTAATACAATGGTTAGCAATTCATTAGATATTAAAATTTATAATTAGTCATAATTTTATAATTGAGTAGTTTAAAAATGACTAGGAAAGTATATTGGACTTCCAAAGACATTAATCCGAATAATTCATTATTTAAGTGGTTTCTACCTAAAATTAATACAATAAAGTTTTTGGGTGATAAGATAAACAGCAGATATCAGAACATTATTGAAAGACTTTATGATAGGCCAATTACAGCTTAATCGATTAATTCCAATAATTTATTTTTTCATGTTTTTTATTGTATTGTTCTCACAGTTGAAGCTATCAGCTTTTATTTTAATATTTTATGCAATCAGTAATTGTGATTGTAAATCAATTAAACCGCTGAGTGATAAAGGACGGGAAATTTGGTTTAATGAAACTATTCCAAGCAATCGATTTGGCGCCAGTGGTTTTGGTGGATTATGGATTTCGGGAACTGAATTTACATTCACTGAGAATAGAGGACTTGTAAAGTTTGATGTGGTTACTAATCAAACAGAAACACTTTATGATAGTGATTTTGCAGTAAGTATTTTTTGGTTTAAAATTTATAAATTTCTGTATGATTTTGTGATTTTTCTGTCAATTCTTATGGGGCTGTTCACTTATTACGTAACGCGAAAAAATGACTTCTCAGACCCCCCCCCCCCCCCCTCGTAACAAAATTTGTATGAAAAAAAAATTTCCTTGTTTGAATCGTAACAAAATCTTAGACCCCCCCCTCCCCCTAAAAGCGTTACGTAATAAGTGAATGGCCCCTATGTAAAAACAGGCAAGATGGACTGGTTCATCCCTTCAACGATCTCCAGATGGATTAAAAGTATTAGTTCGTTATGAACCTCGCGCAATATTCAGACATAGTACAGTCGCGAAGTTTTCAGTAGTTTTTGCTGATGATCTACAAACAGAATACAAAATCAGCGATGGAGATGAGCTTCAAGTGTGTAAATTTGCACCAAATGGACAGTACTTAATATACATCAAAGACAACACTGTTCGCAGTCTTACTGATGCACAGATCCGTTCTAATTCTACAGGAACTATGAGATCACCATATGGAGAGCCAGGTGTAATTTATTACGGAATACCCGACTGGGTTTATGAAGAAGAAGTTTTGGGAAGTGACGCTGCTGCATGGTATTCACCAAATGGAAATTTTATAGCGATTGCTTCGTTTGATGACAGAAATGTTACAGAATTCACTTACGAATTGTATGGCAATGGAAAGGGAGAATTTCAATATCCTCAAGAAGTTAAACTGAGATATCCAAAGGTTTAATTTTTAAAAATTAACTCTAGTCAAAATTTTTTATAAATTTTGGATCGAAATTTTAGGTTGGTGAAAATAATCCCCAAGTTTCATTGGTTATGGAAGATTTGAGAAGCACTTTTATGCAAAATCTACCACTTGTCACTCCAACTAAAGTTGGTGTTGATCATATTTTGGGAACTGTATTTTGGATTAGTGATTTAAAATTGGGAGCTATTTGGCTCAATAGAAGACAAAATTATGGAGAAATCGTTTCTTATACTTATGTTAGTGATGAAGAATGGAGCTTCAGCACAGTGAGTAAAAAGTTCTTGTTGTAAAAATTCAATAATAACATTTCTTAAAAGATTGCAGAAATAAATGAACTATATGGTTGGATTGAGCTTAACACACCAAAATGTGAAGCTGATGGAATCTGCTATTTCATCAATAATGCCAATAACTGGCCATCATTAACTAAAATCGACACAAATAATAATACATTAACATCACTTACAAGTAACAAACACGTTTTCTCATATCTTGGGTCACGAGACGGAAAGATGTAAGCGACATTTTCATAGTTTCTTTTAATTCAGTTATATAATTTTTAACCTTTTGTACTTAGTTATTATTCAGCGACGCCTGGTCCGAATGAATCATTCAACAGACATACCTATGTATTGGATAACGGTGAAGAGAAATGTCTTACATGTGCGATTGTCACACCCGAGGGAAATAATTGTACATATGCAACAACAACATTCAGCACTGACCTATCATACTATGCTTTAACTTGTAGTGGACCAGACGTATCATTCACAGATATTTATCAAACAGATTCAAGTGATAAACATTTAGTATGGAGAACAAATGAGCAACTTAGAAAAACATTGGAAGCTTATGAATTACCAAAGATTAAAATATTCCACGTAACTGTCGGTGAGAAATTCCAAGCTCCAGTTAGGATACAATATCCACCAGAAATTGATTTAGATAATCTTGATAAAGTCACAGAGAAATATCCACTGCTTGTTAGAGTTTATGGTGGACCTGGATCTGTGAGGCTTGCTAATACGTTCTCAATTGGATATCATGTAAGGCTAAGGCAAAACTAGTCAATTCTTATTATTACTCGAAATTTTTGGCAATTTTAAAATTAAATTCATAATTATTTTACCACTTTTCAGTCATATCAAATAACATCAAAAAAGATCATTTACGCAGAGATTGATGGACGTGGAACAGGTCAAAAAGGCGTTGATATGATGTTCTCAATCAACAATCGACTTGGAACTTATGAAATGGAAGATCAAATAACTGTTACAAAATACTTGATTGAAAACTATAAATTCATTGACAAGGAACGAGTTTCCATTTGGGGATGGAGTTATGGTAATTAAATTTAACCGCATTTGATATTTTTTTCTATAAATTATTCGATAAACTTCAATTCAATGCAAATTTGTTTTTGTCAGGTGGATATGCAACAGCAATGACACTCGCAAAAGATACTGAAAAAGTTTTCAAATGCGGAGTTTCAGTTGCACCTGTGACATCATGGATATTCTATGACACAATCTATACTGAACGTTATATGGGAATTAATCCATATTCAGCACAGTATAATAGTAGTGATGTCTCAACTCCTGATCATATTAAAGTCATTGGTCAACATGATTTCATGCTTGTTCATGGAAATGCTGATGATAATGTACACTATCAACAATCAATGGTTTTGGCTGGTGCCTTAGAAAGAGCTGACATTCTTTTCGAACAAATGAGCTACCCTGACGAGGCTCATTCATTGTCTGGTGTCTCACTTCATTTATACCATAGTCTTGATCGTTTTTGGAATAAATGTTTCAATCTGTCTGCTAATTAGCACAAAGATATTTTCTTCACAAAGATTAATTCATGTATTTATTTATTGTGATTTAAAGGCTGCATTGTGTTCATTTGCAGTTATTATTTTGTGGAAATAAAAAGATTTAAATTCAAAAACTTACCTGTTAAACCACGATCTCCTTTTTCTCCAGTTCTTTAGTTGAAAATGTTGAAAACATGAGATTTGCAATTTTATAAACAGATTCTATTAGTTCTTACCTTCCTATTGGTCCTGGCATACCTCTTTGTCCTGTAATTGTTCAAAGCACTTGTTAGAAACTTGATGAATTCATTTTGTTAAAGATTATAACTTACCAACAACACCATCTAAACCTGGTAAACCTCTGTCACCTATTAAATTCAAAATGTATACAGTGATTAGGTATTGAATTTTAAAAAGTGCTTAATAGCTTACCTTTTTCGCCAGGCATACCGATTAATCCCTGAAATATATCAATTCATTAATACCTAAGCATTATTTTTTATGAATTATTTTTGTGAAGCTTTTAGACAGACAAATTTAAATTGATCATAACAATGATCTAAAACTGATGACTTAATATACTCACATCTCGTCCATTTTTTCCAGGACGTCCAGGAAGACCCTTTTCTCCCTTAAGGATTGGACCGACATCTCCACGTTCCCCTATATAAGTCATTTACAATTATGAATTTGATTTACAAGCATGTGAAAGACTTCAAACTTACCAAATGGTCCAGGTTCTCCCTTTTGACCGACTAAGCCATCCATACCAGGGAAACCGACAGGACTGAAATTGAAAATCAATGATTAATTGTCTTTAGAGCAAATAATACATTTCAACATACCCTGCTGGACCTTGGTCACCTTTGTCACCCTAAATTACACAAAAGTATATCATTTATTTAAGAATTTAAATAAGCCAGAATACATACTTGTAAGCCAACGTCTCCTGGTAAGCCAACTGGACCTGGGAAGCCTCTATCTCCCTTATCACCTTTAACATCAACAAGTGGTCCGGGTAAACCTCTTTCTCCTAAAAATTTAAATTGTATGTAGTCAAAGTCAACCTTAATATTTAATTATGAAAGCATTACCTTGAGGACCTCTCTCTCCCTTGATTCCAGGATATCCAAGTGGACCAGGTAAACTTAACAAAAATTTCATTGAATATTTTGATCAATAATTTCAAGATTTTAACCATACCCAATATCACCACGTTCTCCTTGACTGACGGGTCCTGCTTCACCTTTAGCACCCTTTTGCCCGAAAGGTCCTGGCAAACCTGGTGCTCCTTCATTTCCTTTCAAACCATCTAAACCTGGAGATCCAGGAATTCCGTTTGGACCATTCATACCTAATAATGATTTTTAATGGTAACATTTACTTAAGATTCAATTGTTTCCTTTTTAAGAAACTTACCCTTGTCTCCCTTAAGTCCAGGGAATCCAGGCAAACCGGAGTCACCTTTAAAAGATAAAAATGACATTACAAATGTTGCAAATGAAGTAACATCATTGTTGGTTTGATAAACTCAATACTTATTTAGTAATAAGTTAAATTAATACGACAAGAGAAAATAAACTAGTAATGGTTGCATACATAATTTGAATAAAAAATTAACGCAAATATATTCTCAAAAATCTATTTAAAGTGAATGTCGCTTTTAATAAATAAAGATTATTGCAAATGGAATACAAAACATAATTTTCTTACAATGTAAGAACTGCTTTTTGGACCGACTGAATTATCTCAAAGTTAATATAATTGACTAAATTACTAGAAGCTGATATTACCTTTAATTCCATCTAATCCAGGCAAACCATCTAAACCATCACGACCCGGTGGACCAGGAGGTCCTTGTTGTCCGATTCTAGATTAATTTATTTAATAAATTTCATTAAGGATGATTGAAATAAATTTTACGGATTGTAAATAAATTTGTACTTACCCAGGTAATCCAGCATCTCCCTTTGGTCCAATAGGACCATCAAATCCAGGTCTACCATCAATTCCTCTCAAACCAGGTGGTCCAACCTATTAAAAAATAAACTTTGACGATTAGGAAGATTAAAAATTTCAAATGTGACTTACTTCTCCTTTTTGGCCCTTTTCTGAAACATCACCAGGCTCTCCCTTAATACCGATCAAACCTGGGAATCCTCTATCTCCCTTTTCACCATCTAAGCCAGGCAAACCAGCTGGACCAACTGGACCAATGTTTCCTTTAGGACCAGGGGGACCTTTAAATTTGATTAAATATTTTTTATTAGCCTTTAGTAAAATTCTATTATTTATAAATTTTCTGAGAAACATTTATCGATTCTTTGGCAAGCAAATGACTAATTTTCATTTTAAATTAATCCTATGAACTAATAATCATGCAAAAGTCATCGCTAAAAATGACATAAAATGATGAGATATCGAATCGCCATAAAATGTCGCTCGTGTTTGAAAAAGGAAAAAAAAGATGTATTAAAATGACTTACCAGGTGGACCAGCAATACCAGGAAGACTAGAATGAAGAATAAACTCATCAGTAAATCTTCAAAAATCAAGGAAATTTGTCTACAAACCCTTCAAGACCGAGATCTCCTTTGTCTCCTTTCTCGCCACGTTCTCCCTTCAAGCCTGCATTAAAAAAGGTATTAGCAATTATGAATCGACTATTAATCCTATTATGTAAATGGTAACAAATAAGCAACTCAATTACAGCTGCGGAAAATCAACCGGAAATGAACATCGATGCACAAATTCTACGACTGCTCGAAATTCAATTAACAAAATGAGAATATAAAAGACAACGAAAATTTCAATTGGACGAGTAGAAAAGTTTTTGCTTCCTTCAAGGTAGCAGTTCAGTGAGTGCCTTGGAAAACTCAGAGGATATAGTATAGTTTCGTAATATGTTTATGGACGGAAACAATACGGCTGTTTTGCCATTAGCGCTTCAAGGGTTTGTATTCTTAAGAACATTCATGAATTGTTGATTTTTCATAAAATTTGGAATATTTTATTCAACAGAAATGGACCAAGACTCCTCGGCTGGAATCTCCCAACAGAGGATATTCATTTGCTTATTCCCCATTGGCAAGCATTTGAAGCTCCTCCGTTTTATTATCATTTATTGTTAGCTTTGGTTTATTTTGTCTTGATGGTGATATCAACTGTTGGAAATGGAATCGTAATTTGGATATTCTCGACGTAAGTTTGACTTACGTTAATATGATTAAACTTTGGAATTGTTTCCTAATCGTTACTTCGAAATTCAAAATTTTATTTATTTTTCGCTAGAACAAAGTCACTCCGTTCACCGTCAAACTTATTCATCGTAAACTTAGCAATTTTTGATCTTTGTATGATGCTTGAGATGCCAATGCTGTTATATAATTCATACTATCAGCGCATCATGGGTGGAGATTTGGCATGTACAATTTATGCTATACTTGGCTCATTTTCTGGTATTGGTGGATCAGCAACAAATGCAGCAATTGCTTTTGATCGATACAAGACAATATCAAGTCCTATTGATGGAAAGTTGTCACGAGGACAAGCAATTATGCTTATTACTTTCACATGGTTCTGGTCATTGCCTTTTACTATTTTACCAACATTGCAAATATGGGGTCGATACGTTCCAGAAGGGTAAGTTCTTGAAAATGCTTTTGAACTGAATTAATTAATTTTTATGTCCATTAGATTCCTAACAACATGTAGCTTCGACTTCCTTAGCAATAACGATGAGACAAGAGTATTTGTAGCATGCATCTTCACATGGGCTTATTGCATTCCAATGTTCTTAATCGCAATATTTTATTTGAATTTGTTCAAGCACGTCCGTGCTCATGAAAAAATGTTGAAAGCTCAAGCTAAACGCATGAATGTTCAATCACTTTCAGCAAATAGGGATGCAAAATCAGTTGAAATTAGAATTGCAAAGGCAGCATTTACAATTTTCTTCATGTTCGTGTGTGCCTGGACACCATACGCAATTGTTGCATTAATTGGTGCTTTTGGAAATCGACAACTTTTGACACCATTAGTGACTATGATACCAGCTGTATGTTGTAAAATAGTAAGCTGTATTGATCCATGGGTTTATGCGATTTCACATCCAAGATATCGAGCAGCATTGGAAAAAAGATTGCCGTGGTTGGGAATAAGAGAAGATTTGAGGGAAGAAGACACGAAATCAGCTATGACTGCCGTTACAGCAGCTCCAACAGAAGAAACATAGAACATTTCTTGAATATTAAAACTTAAAATTGAAGACTTTAGCATGAAAATTGGAATTGGAATACAGAATAACGAGCAATTCAAAGTGAACTTTTTATTTTTTTGCATTTAAAGTAAATTTTGGATTGAAAATAAATTTTTAACCATGAATGGTACTGCAAATTAGAGCACAATTATTTTTCTTATAAAAACACTTACCTGTTGGTCCTGGCAATCCTCTCAATCCTGCGCCACCCTTTGGACCCATGTAACCCTTTGGTCCATCATTTCCAGGATATCCTCTTTCTCCCTTTGCACCAGGCATACCAACCTTTTATATAAATTGATAAAAAATATTAACTTCATGCTTAATTTTTGAATGACTTCAATACTTACGATACCAGTACTTCCTTGATCTCCTTTCATGCCAGGAATACCATTGCGTCCATCAATTCCAGGTCTACCAATAGGCCCTTGTAATCCTTGTGGACCCTTTGGACCTAATAAATTTATAAATATTGATTGAGTATGTTTCAAATCAATGAAAATTAAATTTTTATGAACTTTTCTTGTTCTTACTTACCAGCATCTCCTTTTGGTCCTGTAAATCCAGGGGCACCAGGGGTACTGTAAATTAAAACAATTATGCATTTTTATATAACTATATATAAGGGGTCGTTCACTTATTACGTTACTTTTTCACCCCCCCTCCCCCCTTGTTACAATATGTTACAACTCACAACCCCCCCCCCCCCCCCTGAACGTTCATAATTTATTTTATCATTAAAAAGGTGGAACAACAAAAAAATGTTTTTGGTGTGAATTTTCGTGAACTTTTTTTTAAAAGACAGACGACAGTTGGAACGTTACATACTTCTTGACACCCCCCCCCCCCCCCATCCTTGCTACAGTTTGTTACAACTTTTCAACGGCAAGATCAAAAACTTGTTGTTCGTGACGCTGAGCTTTAATTTTTGGATCATTAAAGCAAGTTATATAGCAAAGACTTGTATTTTTCTTGTAGTACTCGCCAAGACCAACAATTTGGTGTATAACAAGTGTTTCTTGGATATTGTGCTATAATTAAAAATTAATTTAAAGTACTCAGCGTCACGAACAATTTTAAGGAAATTCGATTTTACACCATGTTGCAAATGTAATATCTCTGCAAATACTTCATTAATCATAACGATTTTTTCACCAGATAATTAAGGAATCAGTTCATCAAAAGTTTTGTCTAAAATATACAAAATAGCGGATTTGTAAGTTAGCTTAATTCAGCTTTAAAATGTTGAAGCTGAAATTTTGATATGAAGGAAATAGTTTAGGAACTAGCTTTCCTTACAAAAAAGGTTACATATGTAATTTTCTTTAAGTTTGTGAGAGAAAATTTTCAATTCTACTATAATTAAACAAGTTATAATGAGTTTTACAAAACTAGTCATAAGTCATTGCTGTGTTATTCGTCTACTAATTTTTTCATTTCAAACTACAGAATTCAACAACGTTTATCATATTGCAATAGAAATATTACTTTTTGTTCAAGATAAGCAGAGAAAATTAAATTATAGTAAAAAAATTTACCAAAAATTTTATAACGGTTTTTGAAATTTAAAATTTGTGAGCAAATAAGAGCAAAATTTGTTGCTCAACTAAAATTGCATTGTTTTTATAGTTAATTTAACTTACTTTTAAGCCTTTTTCGAATGTAAATTAAATAGTAAAAGACTCTTTAGATATAGATCATATGATAGAAAAAGGCAAGCTCTACAACTTTTGTCAAACGTCCAACCATTTATCTTGCTTTCTTCTCAAAGAAAAATCGATTTCAAATATTAATTTGTAAATTAAACTAACTTAATAAGCCACCATTTTGAAAAATGAATGTTAAAAAGAAACTTACTATTATTAGCTATTATGTAGTGAAGGAATCATATTAATTAAGTTATTAAAAGCAGAGAAATCTGAATTTGAATATTTATTCCCTTTTTTTCTGATCTTGCCCATAATACTTGAAGGGCTCAGCCTTTTGAGCTGAAGGCACTGGGTTTTTTTTAAAAAAAATCGACAATCCACTCAATTTTTTTAAAAAAAAATCTTAAGACTGCACAAAGTGCGATCCAAAATAGAAACAAACAATATAAAAAAACTTAATAAATTTTCAAACACATACCCAGCTTCACCAAAATCTCCCTTTTCTCCTGGATATCCAGGTAATCCTTGCAAACCTATTTGATATATGATGATTGTTAAAGATAAACGTTTTCAATGTTAGTAAAAGATTATTTACCTGGTAATCCTTGAATTCCACTTACACCACGTTCTCCTTTGCGACCTTGGAAACCGAGATTACCTTTTGGTCCAGGTGGACCTGCTACACTCAAACCTTGTTCACCCTTTTGTCCTGTTTGTAGATTAATAATAAAAAAATACAGAATTAGTAATTCAAAAAATCATAAAGAAAAAATTCAAAACTTTTTGGATTTGGATGAAAAAAAATAAAGAATAATTTATAAAACAAAAACTTAAAAACTTTACAAAGTTATCGTTAAAATTCAAACAATTCTCTAAGATTGAAATATTTTTTAAATCTGAACAAAAAAATTTTTGAGTTTTTTTCATCATTTTTATTAAAAACAAACCCTTGTCTCCGGGCAAACCAGGCAATCCTCTTAATCCATCTTTTCCAGGATTTCCTGGGAATCCAACAGCACCGTTAAAACCTTTGTCTCCTCTTGGACCTAATTATTGAATCATATTAATTATGTTTACTGATAATTTATAATAATTGCTTACCTGGTAGACCACGTGGTCCAAATGGACCAGGTAATCCAGTAGCACCAGGCAAACCGTGCTCTCCTTTGTCTCCCTTTGCTCCCACTGGACCTCTTTCTCCTGGAGAACCTGGAATTCCAACTGGACCTGGTTCTCCTTGATCACCTAATTTATGAATTTTGATTAATAGTTTGAAAGCATATTTAACAGTGTATTCAAATAAAGATTTCTTTTTTTCAAAATTTGTTTGAGCTTTGTTTTTATAAAAAGGTATGATAATTACCAGGTAAACCACGAATTTCATTTGGAACATCAAGTTTTGGACAGTTTGGTGTATCACCACGATCTCCTCTGAAACCAGGATCTCCTTTTTGACCTTTAGATCCATCGAGACCAGGGAAACCTAAAATAACATTTAGAAATTACATAACAATAATTGATTGAATTCATTTGCTTCAACTTACCTGGTTCTCCCTTAACTGAAGCACCCTTTGGGCCTGTTATTTGAAGAATAGAAAATGAGAATAAGACACATAATTATAAGTGTATCAAAAACATCATTACCAGGAAGTCCATCTCTACCAGGTCTGCCAGGTGTACCATCAAGACCAGGAATACCTTAAAAATTTAAGAAATAAATTATTATAAATTATTGAAACAATCCTTTAAGAAAAGGAGAGTCTTTAAAGACATAACCCAATAAACTGAATTGAATTTCTGCTAAAGGTGTTTAAATTTCGACACCAAAAACTTTTTATTTCCCTACAGCATTCCCGAACATACAAAGAGCATGCTCAGAAAAGTGAGCATATAAGTGAGTCTACTCAAAAATTATACTCATGCAAGCTCATTCAACTGAGCATGCTCAGGAGTTCATTACGAATGTACTCACTTTATTTTTTTACAAAAACTTTATAAGCTCACGTGAGTGCATTCAATAAGTATACTCTTGAGAATATTAAGAACATACTCATGTGAATTTACTCATATGAGTTCACTTACTGAATATACTCATGAGTATATAATGAGCAAACTCACTTCTGTGTGACATAATTTTTTTATATTCTCATATGAGTGCACTTACTGAATGTACTCATAAGCATATAATGAGCAAACTCACTTCTGTGTCACACAATTTTTTTTATATTCTCATATGAGTGCACTTACTGAATGTACTCATGAGCATATAATGAGCAAACTCACTTCTGTGTCACACAATTTTTTTTATATTCTCATATGAGTGCACTTACTGAGTTTATTCAAGAGCAAATTGTGTACCTTTTTTGAAAAAATGTCAGCTAAATCGAAAACGTTAAAATAATGAGTTTTTAAGGAAGCTGACATTTTTTTAAAATTTTTTAAAAATGTCAGCTTCCTTAAAAACTCATTATTTTAACGTTTTCGATTTAGCTGACATATAATAATTTAACTATGTGTTATGCCATATATGAATTATTATATATTTACAGACAATAGCTCAAAGGAAAAGTGTGAGATGACAGAAGTTAAGCAACGCAGAAGATATTTCAACAAGGATGGGTGACCAGGTTTATATGTTTCAATTCTAAGGATTTGTAATAAAATATTAATAATTTCTAACCAGTGTTGCATTCTGGCTATTTGTCTGGATCAGATAAATTCTGAGACAGAAATTTCTTCATAAAATCGATTCTACATGTAGAAAGAAAAAAACCATCTACATGTAGATTGTGTCTACATGTAGAATCTGTCTACATGTAGATTTAATGTAGATGTCTACGATTCTACATTCTTCTCTGATGTAGTCCTGGAAAAAATGTAGAATTATAGACATCTTCATCGAATCTACATGTAGACACAATCTACATGTAGATGGTTTTTTTCTTTCTACATGTAGAATCGATCTTTATGAAGAAAGTTTCTTAGCTAGACAAAAACTATTGAAGAATCTACATTCTTCATCTAGTGTAGACATCTACATTTGCAACACTGTTTCTAACTCTTTCAAAATTATTCACAGAAATAAACGGAACAGTACTTAATTTCAGCTAACCTATAATACTCAAATTTAGCTTAATTAATTTTTTGAATTTTGCAACTTCACTTGAGTGCACTCATGAGTGTGCTCAGATGAGCATATGTATACTCATAAATATACTCACTAAGTATATATTCTTTGAGTACGTTTATGAGTTTGTACTCTTTGAGAATATTTATAAGTATGTACTTTTTGAGAATGTTCATGAGTATATTCAATAAAAATGTTACATGCGAAAAATGTTGCATGTGACATGTTACCTTCTCATTTGAGTATGCTCATGAGTTTACTCAATGAGCTTAATACATGTCACATAGGAATGTACTCACAGAGCATGCTCAAGAAGGTACCGTAAGCGCATCACTGAAATGTATGAAAATGAGCACATTCTCACAAAAGCTATCAAGCTCACAAATAATATGCTCTGAGCATGCTCATTGTATGTTCGGTATTAAGTCAATTTAGTATGAATTTTATCAAACGATTATAAACTTACCAGGTCTGCCAGGTTCTCCAGAAGGTCTATCAAACGAAATTCATCAATGATTCAAAAAAATTGGCTAGAAATAAAATTAATGACTTACCCTTGGGATCCCTTAAGACCAGGAATACCCGGTAAACCTTAAAAAAATAAACAAACATTAAAAATTCAATCATAAAGTTTTCTTTTTATTTTTTACCTTTTAAACCTAAATTTCCTTTAGGGCCATCTCTTCCCATTGGTCCAGTAGCACCTTTGTCTCCCTTTATAGGTTCAATCAAATTCAATGGAACAATAGCGTCATCTCCTCTTGGTCCATCTGCTCCAGGCAAACCATCTCTACCGTCAGTTCCTAATTACATCATACACATTTGTTTTTGTAAAGTTAAGAATAAAGACAAATTAAAAAATTAATTTTACCCTTTTCTCCTGCTTGTCCCGGGGGACCTGGATTTCCATCTTCTCCTCTAATTCCTGAAATATAATAAAATGTAGAGCAACTTTCGAATAGGGGTTAAAAAATTTCTTACCAATAAATCCTTTTTCGCCAGGAATTCCCATTAATCCCTAAACAGCAATAAATAAAAAAAATTAATTGTGAATCTTACAATCAAAAGCAACTCAATCATACAGGAGCTCCAGGTAATCCGTCCATTCCTCTTTCTCCTTTGTCGCCTTTGAATCCAGGTCTACAATCTGAGCATCTTCCACCAATGTCTCCCTTTTCACCACTTTCTCCCTTCAAACCTAATATTTTTGAAAAGTAAATTGGTCTTCAGAAATTGTGATTTGAATTTTAAATAAGTTTTTAATATCTTACCACTTAAACCAGGTCTTCCAGGTTCTCCCTTTAATCCTTTAAAATGTGTTTAATTAAAGTCTATAAGACATTGAAAATGATAATTTACATACCAGGCGTTCCAGTTCTGCCAGGCACTCCAGGTCTTCCATCTCTTGAATCTCCAGGAACACCAGATTGACCTTTGAAACCTCGTTCACCTTTTCTTCCTGCCAAACCTGGGAATCTATTAAAGTTAAGGTTAAAATTTTCATTTTCGTAAAAAAAGTATCCAGTATATTTCGTCATATCACTTACCCAGCTAAACCATTGTCTCCCTTTTCACCTTGAATTCCAATTCCGGGTTCGCCCATTTCTCCTCGAAGACCTTCTGGGCCAGGCATGCCTGGTAAACCTCTTGGACCTTGTACACCAGGGAATCCTAAGTGCAATTTAAATTTTGTTTAAAAATATAAATCATCTTCAAGTCGTAAAATGAAAAATCTATATTACCTGCTTTTCCACCGTCACCCTTTTGTCCTGAGAACATTAAAAAATTATTTATAAGGTATTAAAGTCCATCAAAAAAAGGTGTGAAGTCATTTTACCTTTTTCACCGGGGAAACCTTCAGGACCTTGTCTAAATGTTTGATAAAAATTAAGATGTTTATTTTTTTGCATTAAATGTTTGAAATATTGAATAATTTACCTTCCTGGCAATCCTGGGCCTCCTTTCATTCCCATATTTCCTTTCAAACCTCTTTCTCCAGGAAGTCCATCTAATCCTTTTGGACCAGGAAGACCTCTGAAACCACGTGGACCTGCTGGGCCTATTTTAGAAATGATTTAAGTATAATGAAACATTAGTTTTGCATCTACAAAACTTATATTTATAAAAATTTTACCTGGTGGTCCTGGAGTGCCTTTGCCGCCTCCGGGTGGACTATGAATTGAACATTAAGTGAACATTAAGTCAATATTAAGATTAAGAGAATCAAACAATTTACCCCGGTGGTCCAAGTAAACCAGGGGAACCTGGTAAACCATTTCTGCCTGGATCTCCTTTTTGTCCTGCTGGTCCGTCTAAACCGTGAAGACCTTCCAAACCAATGTCACCTTAATTATTTAAAATTATAAAAAATTAGTCTTATGAATTTCTAGAGCTATTTTTGAAGTTACCTTTTTGTCCAGGAGGTCCTGTAGGTCCGAATGGTCCATCTCTACCCTAAAAATAAAGTAATAAAGTTTTAATATCATTTAATATTCATGATTATTCAAAAGGAAAAAAATAATGGTGAACAAAGAAATGATCAAAAATGTTTCCCCACAGAAAACTATACAACACGAATTTATAACAATACCAGAACCTTCCGAACACTCAAATAACAACAACAAGTGGTGAAATAAATATATTTGAACTCGAACGATTTTAATGCTGAATCATCGTAATAGAGTGAATAGAATGGAATCAAATACACTATCATATCACTTAAAAGCCTTTCTTTACACCAAAGTGTTAATGCCTTATGAGGCTTCAAAAATTGAAAATCATTTTCATTTTTCACACTTTCTATTCATAAAAAAAATTGGAAAAGAAAAAAAAAGATTTTTCATTTCGATTGGCTCACATAGTGAAATTTAGCATATCACCACAATTCATACGGTAAATTATGAATTTTAACCCATAAAACTCCTGTGTCGACATGAACCCCATCAATCTATTGATATACCGGAAAAATATTTTCAATAGGTAATTTCCCTTTCAAAATCCTTTTTTATGGTCGATAAGTATCTGCTATAAATACAGTAAGTTAACTCTACAAAACTTTTAGTTTATTGAAGGTTTTTAAGGTGTTAAGTTGAAAATGGATGAAAATCAGCCATTAGATTTATCAATGAAAAATCAATTAAAATCTTTTGTCAAGAGCAATGCAAAATCTACGAAAAACGTAACAGAATGGATTGAAAAATTCTCAATTCTCTTGAAATATCCAAAATGCTTTCAATATCTCACGAAGGAGAAGATGATAAAGTTGCAGAACTATAGGTAAGTTTAAATAATGTTGCATAAAATTAGATTTTAATTGACTTATTATTTCAGGAATATTTTATTCTGTGAAACTTGTCATAAATTCTTCGATCGTCCTTCACTTTTACAGCGACATATTCGGTCACATACTGGAATTCGTCCATACAAATGTGAAAGCTGTGATAAAGCTTTCTCAACTTCATCATCTTTAAACACTCATAAAAGGATACATACAGGTGAATTAATTTATAATTTTCTGATTAAGAGCTTGAGTCATTTATATGTCTCATATGTGTCTGGAATGTTATGACAAAGTTTGAATCTAAGTAATTACTGTGAATGACACAAAAAGCTTTCAAGCCATTTTTTTTTAAATTTTCAAGGTGAAAAGCCCTTTCAATGCGCTTTTAAAGGATGTGGAAAGCAATTTACTGCCAGTTCTAATTTATACTACCACCGGATGATTCACTTTCAAGAAAAGCCACACAAATGTTCACTGTGCACTCGAACATTCCCAACGCCAGGAGATTTACGCAATCATTTTTATGTTCACAATGGAATGTGGCCTTATGTATGCAAATGCGGACGTGGATTTGCGAAGAAAGCAGCATATCAAAGCCATTTAACGAGGCAAGGACATTAAAAGTTCTTTTTAAAGATACTTACTCTTTGTCCAGGAGGTCCAGGAAGACCTTTTTCTCCCTTTTCTCCGAGAAAACCTTTATTAGAAATAAAAATTAATTTTCAAATTAAACAGTTGACTCTTAATAAATAATTATAATTACCAGGTTGACCAGGATTTCCTATATTAGCAAAAAAATAAAATAATAAGTCATAAAAAAACTTCAATTTAAAGGAAATTGTATATTTACCTGCATCTCCAATTGAGCCTGGCATGCCAGTGTCTCCTTTGTCACCCTTAGGTCCTGCGGGTCCTGTTGGTCCAATAAATTCTTCAGGCCGAGATGCAACAGGTTGGAATTGAGTAGTTTCTCCCTATAATGTTCAAATTAATGATCATAAATCATTAGCAACTAAGGATTGATCTTACCTTTTCACCAGCAGGTCCCCTGTGCAAAAGAACAATAAATGAATTAATTCATGAAAATAAGAATAGAACTTAACTTACTTAATACAGTCTCCTTTTTCACCAGAGTCACCTCTCTCTCCTTTTTGACCATCACTATAATTTATTTCAATTAGTTTTGATTTGAAAAAATATGGAATGTGTTTATCTTACTATCCATCATAACCAGCTTGACCAGGTTCTCCACGTTCACCTGATATAAATAAATTAAAATGTCATTTAAAGTCATCTAATAATTTTATGTGTCAAGCTTACCGTTTATTCCAGGAAGACCAGGATTTCCGATTCTGCCATCAAATCCAGGCTCACCTAAAGATAATTGTTATTACAAACTTCGATCTTAAGTTTTAGTTCACAAACTCACCCTTTTGACCCTTTTCATAATTTGAGAAGTCAATTTGTGCAGGTTCTCCTTTTTCTCCCTAAATTGAAATTAATTTAATTTCTGATAAAAACTATTTGAAGTCAGTTTTTCTTTTACCTTGCCACCAGGTGAACCAGGGTATCTAAAACGATAAGCATAAATATATAATAAATGCCTTCTACATGGAAATGAATTGATTTTACCCTCTTGGACCAGCATTTCCTTGCAAACCAGGAAGACCCTATTATTTTAAATGTTAATTGTAGAAATTAAGATTGACACACAAAAAATTTAAATTAATAATTTACCGGAAGACCATCTGTTCCATTACATCCGTCAATACCAGGAATACCAGGAGCACTAAAAATTAAATTTGGTTCCAATTCAATTTCATGAAGTCAAATGGAATTAATGTGTTAAAATATGTACCCTGATGGACCACTATGACCAGGTAAACCTAAAAGATTTAACATTTATTAGAATACTTTTAACCTTAGTTTTAATTATTTTCTATACCTGGAACTCCGGGAAAACCGGGAACACCAGTTTTGCCTCTATCTCCTTTTGGACCCTATATAATGAGAATTAAGTTGACATTCAGTTCATATCTTAATAAAGATTTATGGAAAAATGAATGAGCTTTTAAATGAGCTTTTTCAGCAAAGTTTTGAAAATTTAATGATGAATTTTGATTCCTGAAGTTAGATTTTAGATAATCACAAGACGTGTTCACTTGAAATAATCCCAAAGATTACAAGAAAATTTCAGTTTTAATGCTCAATTTTAACCAAAGCTCAGTCACTGATAAAATAAATATGAAACGACAATTACCCATGGACCGACTGGACCTGTTTCTCCTTTTTGTCCTTTTGGTCCAGGTAAACCTTCTGAACCAGCGAAACCTTGCATACCTATATGACAAATTTAATGTTTGTTGAATTTTTTGTGTAAATTTATAATTTTAAAAAATCTTTTATTATAAATTTTAAGTTATAAATAAATCAAGCCATTATACAACATAGTAATTGACTCACCCTTAGGTCCTGGATATCCAGGAACGCCAGGTAAACCTCTATTTCCTTTTTCTGCGAAACATTTTGGTATACAACAGCCAGAGCCTGTACAATTTTTAGCTGGAGGCCCTCTCACTGGTGTATTTGCAGTATCAATAATATCATAACTGTCAGGCACTTTTTGTACATTTACACGTTCTCTTATATTTTTATTTCTTCCAAGCAAGCCTACACTACCGCTATCGATATCGTTCCACATTTGCGCACTTGTATTTACAATCAGATATATAAAAACTACTATTGCTACTAACCACCTATTGTACGAGCAATGAAAGAAAAAAAAAAATATATACGTAATTTTATTAATGATTCAGCATTTACGCACGATCACAATTTCTCATTTTAAAATTTTTCATGAATGGATAGTAAGTACACCGAACGAATGTAAACAAAACTTCGTAACATGTGCGCTATGTGAGAGAGAAAATGATCGGCACTAGTCGTCGTGAGAGAATGAAAAACTCGCAAAAGGACTGCAACACAAACACAAGCGCATATTACGAAGCAACTTCGGACTTTTCACGACATTTTCGATGTATTTGTTGAGGGGTTGATTTGCATAACACAAAATCATTCAAGCTGATCATTCTGATTTTAGACATTGAAATGACAACATCTGAGGAAATTGGATCAAGGACGTTGATTGTGATTTAGGCGCAGTTTTCATTTAATATTTAAATTGTTTTTGGTTTCAAGGATTTTAATTTTAACATTTAACATTTTTCTATTTTTGGTTTGTAAACGTTTTTAAGAATTACGTCGTGTTTTTATAATTCAAAGTTTAAGTCTTCATCCCCACACATTTTAGGAAATTTTATAAATATTTAAATACATCAAATCACTTCTTTTTTTTCACTTCACACAAATATTTTATCATACATTACAAAATAACTTTTCAATAAGTCTCAATTTTCAAATGAATTTCTTGAAACTTCAATAATGTTTTGAACTTTAAAATAAATTTGTAAAGAGTTAAATTTCACTATATGTTGCTCGATTTTCTTGATTACGTTGAGAATTTTTCTTTTGAAATTTTGTGATTTATTTGATTTAGTAATTGTTAAAAAAATAAGAACTTTCACAATTCACTTTTGAACATAAGTTGGCATCTAATTGTTAAAATCTGAGTAATATTAAAGTTTGATTGCATATTTTTTGTGATTTTTTACTTTAATGATTTTGTGAAACATTAATTAATTATAATCCTTCATTGATTAAAGGCGGAAAAATTGTGAAATATTACAAAGTTAATTTAAAACTAAGAATTTTTATGATCGCGATTTAAGAATGTTTGAATAATGTTGTTTTTAATAATTCCCGACTAGTTTTTGAATCAGTTTTCCCACAAAAGTTCGGCAAAATTAAAAAAAAAATTATTGAAATAAAGGAATGTGAACATTCTAAAGAAAATTTTGCTAAACGCGAGCTTATTTTCTAAATTAACAAAATCAAACCAAAAAGCATTGAGAATAATTCAGAAAAAAATTCTGATTTAATTCAATTTTCATCAAGTCAATTCATTTTATTCAAAATAAAAACATGAAACTGTAAATAAGATTAAATAAGCTAAATGTTTATTGATTTTTAATAAAATCTTTGATTAAGTTGCAATTTATTTTTCAATAAAACTATGTTGAAAATAATGAAACTCAACCTAATCTATGTAGAAATGATTAAGTCTATGTTTGTTCATTTTACCAAAAAGTAACTCTGAAATCTCTAAATTTCCAATTCATTGCAAAAACTCCGCAAATTTCAAACCTATTAACTATCTTCCCAAAATATTTTCACAAATTGTATGTCAAGAACACAAAATAACAGTAAATAGATCATCCAAAAGTCAATACAGTAGTCATTTCCCATCACGTATCGTCATTTACTACATAAAACTCTCTGAAGACCTCATATTGATGACCTTTATAACTTTTTTCTGTCATTTGGTATGTTCTCAAATTAGTACGTTCTTAAATACATAAAAATCACGTTTCACATTCGTTATGTTTGACTTCATTTTCGAGATAATACAGTCTATATTATATACAGTAGGAAGTTGAACAAGAATTTTAAATACTGGAATTTTTGATAGCAAAAGATTATTCACAATTTTTTTGACATTTTTCTATCAAGTGCTTGACTTAATAATTTCTTTAATAAAATTGTTTTTATATTTAGAAATAGGCTAATAATTTGAGCAAGATAGTGAAAGCACATGTAAGATTTAAGGGATTCAAAGCGAAATATAGGTTTATCAAAAGGATCGTGAGGTTTGCATGACTTTTCAATCAATTTTGTACATTTGTGATAATTTTTCTTGGTCATTTTTAATAATTGTGTGCAGTTACACTCTTTAAGGCCATCATTAATGGATAGTCATGAGATTAAATATGCATAAACGATTCCACGAGATTGAAAAATCTATTTATGACGCTTTAAAAAAATAAATTTGCCAAATTGCAATTTCTAAAAACCTGGTTCTTAGATACTTTAATCAAGAAGTTCAGAATTCCAGACTTTAAAACAAAAAAATATTTTTTTAAAAGAAAATAAGTTGCCTTGTTAAAATTTATTGCGCTTAAAATTTTTTTTGGTATTTTTGTTCATCTGTCATTTAATTCTTCAATAATTTTGCCAAAAATTTCAAGTTTTTGAGAAAGTTTTAAATTTTTACAAATTTTTATAATATAAAGAAAATAAAATAAAATTCATGAAGTATTAAAATTTTGAATCCAGAATAATTCAAATCTTTTATAAAGTCAAGAAAACTGATCTAAAATTTGCATGAACAAAACCTAGTCAGTCTACTTACAAATTTTAAAAATTTCAAATCTTTTTTCAGAAATTCAAAAAATTTATTAAACTTAAAAACTAAGTCACAAAAATTTTCTCTCAACAGGAAAGTCCAAATTTAATTAACTGAAGCATAATACAGGGCATTTAGCATCATTAAAATTGGTATACCAATAATTTCATGTTTAGACTGTAATCCATTCTCACGATTTTATGTTATTTAAAAATATTTCACATAAAAAGTTTCACATTAAATGCTTTTCTTTTAAATAAAGAATTTTTTCTCGATTCACGAATTTTCAAGAAAACAATTTTTTTGAGCAACATCACAGTCATATTTGTTTCACATATATATATTATATTTTCTAAATCTTCTCATTTTATTTCTTTTCTGTATAATTTTAATTTCAATCACAATTGTTCATTTCTAGCGCTTATCAGTTGAACTCATTAATAAACTTCCTTTCTGAACTATGATCATTATATGACTTCTATCACGATTGTGCAACGTTGCCACATTTTTCATCAACACTTTTCAAGAATTTTTGTATTAAATTTTTAATCCTTTTTGTGTGTATTAATTGCAGTAGCACTTATCAGTTGACATAATAAATTATTGCTTGCTTTTACAGGCCATATGTAATACATTTTAATTATTATTTATCACTTCTATTATTCACTATGCAAGCAAATGATCACAATTTAATCCTCAGATATTCAATCCATTGACATAGTCCAAAAATAAAAACGTTTAATCCAGTAAAAAATAATAATCACTTGAATGATTTTTTTCGCTATACACAAAACAGGAAGATAAGAATTCTCACCATGGCGATTCTCGTAAGGAGGCCATCCTTGTGGCTCCCTTATGCTTTGAGCCCATTCTCGGGCTCTATAAATTTACAATTAAAAATATATTTTGGTTCACTATAATCACAGCTTAAATAATTTTTTTATAAAAATTTTCCACTTTTCTTAAAACTCCATCAATTGACTTATTTTTTGTGTCTTAAACACTCTCAAAAAAAAGGAACAAATTTTAATATTAATTTTTTCCTTATAAACTAGCGTTTAATTCTTTCCCAAATTATTTCTTTTTCTGCGCAATCTCAGTTTTATTATCTCTTTTTCCACTCAACAGCAATAAAAAAAAATTGATAATAATTTTAAAAAATCAAATAGACGCGAGACCACGGCTTTTCAATCTTGTCAAGTGGACCGCCGAACACGAACTGATCGTACGCGATGAAAGGCGAATGAAACAAATTTTCTAAGTATTAAGCAGTTCGCATGGTGTTCGGGAATCAGGAAAGTGTGGGAAACGATTGCAACATATGAAAATATAGTGAAGGAATATGGAAAATATGAGGCACGACAGACAATCGGCTGTTATAAAATTAAGAATGTATGAGACGAAGTTATATCTCGATCGTGTTCAACTGCAACAGCAGCAGTTAAATGCAAGTTTATTATATTTCTGCTTTTCTTTTTAATATATTAAAGAATCTTGTATGAAATTCTGCATTCTTACTCTTTTTCCCATTTCTGCTTTCATGTCTGAAGAAATTATGCAATGAATTTATATTCACAAAAAAATAAATAAAGAGCGAGAGACAACGAATTTTATGGATGTATGTATACATAATTCCGTTATTGATAACATTTGAAACTATATTCAGTTTCCTTGAACCTATTTACCATTTCAAGAGCTATGTACAAATCAAAAATTATTCTTGATAAGATTGCTCTCGTTAAAATGAGAATCAGTTCTAATTGCCATCATCATGATTAACGAAAAATGATTGGAAAGAGCAAAAAAAAGGTTCCGACCGCAACATGCCTCAAAGGCACAAAAAATTGCTTTTTAAAGTACAATTAGAATTAATTTCATGTAATTGAATGCCTGATCGTCGCGTAGCCATCATAATACACACAAAATTGCTGTCAATGGCAATTTTTGAAGTTTTGCATTTTTACACTCGATTCCTTCATCATCAGCACATATTTTCTATATAACTTGTATATTTTCTTTTCTTCGAGACCATCAGCATTTGAGTTGAATGAAATTCTGTAATAAATTGTTGCAATCTTGCCCTTGAAATGATTTTAAAATTTATTCTTTTTTGTATGTCAAAATCAGACCTTTCTTGACATCTTCCAATGCTCATTCAATAAAAACTATGAATGAAAATTCATTATTTTGAAGAGTGTGAGCTATTAAAGTTATGAAATATTTATTTTTTTAGCTTCCTTATCATCACTTTACAGCTCATAATGAGCTCATTCTCATTCAGTTTTATGAGAGTACTTAGATTAGTTATTTGAGTTCAACGAATTTGAGATGAAAAACATTATTTATTGCTGTGAAGATCTTTAGCGCATTTTTCTTGGAATTGTTTGATCGATTGGAAAAATGAGAACAATTTAAAATGACGACAAAGAGCCTTTGGATTTTTTGTTGTATAGCTTTGAGCTTGTCATTCATTTTATGATTTTTGGGTATTCAATGGATCAAAAAAAAATAAGATGCATGCTGATCTGAGCTGGGCATTATCACAACTAGGTGTTTTTAAAATTCTGAGAATCTTAATTCGGGAAACATGTGCCAAGTCTAGTTAACAGTCAAATACATAACAAAGCCTTCAAATTTTTCTTGTATTTTTAAAGAGACTTATAAGTTTTGGTGTAGATTGTAATTTGGTGGCATTTTTTAGAACTATCTTTCGAAGAAGGCTTACTCACACCTCCATTTGCAGCATATCATTTCAAAATCTGACACAAAACTTCAAAAAAAACCAACTACTCTGTCCAATAAAGCCTCATACCTATCCCATAAGTAACTATTTCGCATATCAAAACACAATCAAACTCAATATTCCATCAATTCCCTTACTTATCCTCCTACTTGATTTATTATCGTATGAAAATCCAAAAATGGAAGCACTTGATGTTATGTGCATCTTGAGGGAATAATAAATCCTCCATATATTTCCACTTAAAAGTCAATCTCATTCATTAAGAGGAAGCCACAGATCATTAAATATTTGCGATATGCCCACATTATTCTCATAAAAAGAGAACTTTAGAAGATGCAAAATATCTGCTAAAATAGTTTTATATGATTGAGGGGAGGAAGTGCAAGTCATATTATGAATTAATGAGCATGTATACTAATCTACAAATTGCTACAGTTTTCATTTTCCTTAGAACAAAAAAAAACAAATGTACTTAAATCAGTGTGGAATGTAGAAGCAACTTCTATAGTAAGATTTTGACACTCATCTCGACTCCCCATTGTTGAGTCAATTGGATGCAACTTTTTTTTATGTTTTAATGCAATCCGCAGATAAACGATGCGAAATAAAGAGAAAAGACTATAAATCTTCTTCTTTGATGTCTAGCTGAATAAATTCATGGTCAAAAGAAGCACATTCATAAATATTTCTACGGTTTCAGTAACAAACAAACAATTTCTTATTTTCTCTTCTCTTTTAAAATGGAAAAAATGGAACAAAAATTCAGACCTAATTCCATACATAAGCTTGAATTATATTCTTATCATGACCAGAATTGACTACACTTTTATGACCTTTCGCTCAATATTTTCTAGACTCTCAGCATCTAAAAAAATTTATTGAGAATTTATAAGCTTATTTTTGCGAATCTTAAAGTAAGTAAGTGACTGGGTTATGAGTGATAAGTGACTCAACTTCAGCACAAGTTTGTAGCAAAATAAATCTAAGAGATATTTTTATGAATGCAATGATTCTTACACATTGATACAAAATGAGCTTCCGGCTGAGTGGAGAATTTTTAATGTGTTGATAAGATTTTAATTATGTAAGTTAATAAAAAGCGTCAAGTGGGCTATGATCCAAATGGTAGCTATTCAGATCATATTATTTCATCTAGTGACAAACTGCTACAAGCTACTGAAGTCGAAAATATTTAGAAATAAAGGTTGATTCAGGTTGAATTTTTCGACCGTTTTGCACGAGTTCGAGCACCTATATTCTGGGAATTCTTACTTCTACGTAGGGAATTCTACGGTGTACCCTAGTCATCTTCTCTTAACAACTTCCATATTAGATATCTTTGTCACCTAGCCATTTCATTTTTTTTCTATCAAACTATAAATTGATTATATTCACACCAAGAGAATCTAGCAATGACATCACTTTTTTTCCATGTATGTTGCTTTACAGTAAGCCGCTATAATACCAAAGGATTAAATTACGCTCATGTGCATGGAGCATACTCTATTCAAATGTCTTCATTTTCAGAAAAACTATCGTGTATGCATAAAATGCAAGGGGAAAACAACATGATGAGAAAAGTTTTAAAGATAAATTTTCAAGTGGTCATTATTTTTCTCATTAACATTTGTAACTTTCTGATTCTAGCCACAACAATTTTATTTTAATATCGAAGGCAGAGATCAGTAAGATTAAAACTTTTTTCCATAACGTTCCCCTTGATAAAATATGAATTGTCTCAAAAGGGAACTAAAAAAGACACATCAAACAGAAAATCACATTGAGCTGCATCTGTTTCTGCTGCAGAAGGCAAAAATCAAAAGAGAAGAGACAAAAAGAATTCACAATATCAAATAAACATTATTCGCGACAAACGTTTTTTCTTATTACTTTGAAATCATTCTTTTTGATGGATGTAAGTTCAGCAGAGATTGAATATTCAATGCGAAAAATCTTTCAACCATAAATAAAAATTACAGATCTGTAAAAATCATTCATCACATTTCATTAATTGCAAATAGTGTTAATGATAGACGAACATAAAAATTCAATTGCAGCTAATTTTTGCAACTTTAGAGCTATAAACTTGAGTTCTTTTCTACGGAAATATTGTTCATGTGGTATTTTAATTTTCGACAAATGTTTTACTTTGAAATGAGCTTTATATTTCTAATTTTATGCATCATTTGATGCTAGTAAGAAATGAACGAAAAGATGTGAAATTTCTAGAAATAATTCATATCCAGTCCAAAAATTTGTTGAAAGCTTAGAAAAGAAATTAATCTCAACTGAAATAATTTTTTGAATGGAACTACTAAGTTGTTGAGTAGTCTCATGAAGGGAAAACTTTATGTCACGGCCAAAAAGTATATATTGAGTCTCAGAATAGAGTCTATACAATATAAATCACTGGAATTAAAATAACATTTTCATAAAGTATTAAGAACAACTTTTTCAATTTACAAAGACAACATAGAATGAAGACTAAAAAAATTGATGTGGTTTTGCCTTAAAACTTTCAACGAAAGCATAAAAATCACCACCAACTCTAAATCGACGGCATATGCGATACAAATAATATAAACATTGCACTAAATTGATTGAGGAACAGTCGATTGTGTACATTTTACATGCAATAACAGATCCACAGATGTAAAGACAAAGATAAATTTTAAAGCATGTAGTTTAATGTAGGAACACATTCACATCTATCTTTTCTCACTTTTCGTCAAGATCCTACTAAAAAAATGAAAAATTATTTTCATCCAAAAATAAAATGAAGATTTTAGAATGACTGATGTGCTGCATTTTTCCTCACATTCATGTTATTCTTCCGACTTTATTATTTCATTTTGCATGTTCAAACATATGTTAGTGTTCATTTGTTGATTCAATTTAATTGCATTTGCTAAACAGTGTAAAGTTCTTCTTTATATCTGCTTGCATGCAATAAATTCTCTCGTTGCTTCTCATTCTCATTAATTTAATAATAATTTGATTATTTTCATTCATCATATTCCTCCCATATCTTCTGTCATGCAAAACTTAGCTTTGTTGAGATACACACGAGAGATGATCAACCATACTTTAGTTCTCATATGATGATGCAAGAGTCAATAAATTAAACAAAAATAGAAGAAATGAAATTCCCGATTTTTCTTAAATGTAGTATGAATGAACTCCAACATTAAAGCTAAATCATGAATTTCTAAGAATTTCTGTCTTAAAACTATTAAAAAAGTCATGCATGCAAAAAGGGCTCGCATACAAAAGCATCTGTAAATGAAATAAAAAAAATCTGCAAGCTTCTGCATAAACAAAAATGTTTTTGTTCTCTTTGCGATGCTTTATGATGAGCATAAACAGATCTTTCATATATTTTTTGCTACGGATCATCAACGCATCAGAGTTTTCTTCATTTCTTTTTAATTAATATTTTATGAGCTTAATATAAAGTCAGAATGGGATGAGACTGTTGACTGACATCAACTAGAAATGCAGACTGGAGAGTCTGATTGAAAATCTACTGATCTAACCTAGAATCCTGTAATCTATTGGTTAAGCTAAGGTTTTCCAAGGCACCATTCAATAAATAAAAATTGTCTGCATGGCAACAAAGGACTCTGAGATCTCTTGATGCTTTACACAAACTCAGTTCTTCAGAGAAATTTTGGGAAGCGGAGTTAAACTGTGATCAGCGAGAATTCCTTAGTGCTTTATAAAAATGCTTAAAGTTCTACACGATTTTAAATTGCCTCGGACTGAAATGGTTGAGAAGCACTGAATTAAACACATACTTTACACAACAACCTCACCAAAATTCCAAGAATAAATTTTTAATTCACCTTAAATCTTTCTCAATTACAACCTCAATATCAGATTACCCTTAAAAATGCGCCATGAAACGCAGTTCCAACAATATTTACTCATCTTCCTTTTAAAAAAAAAGTCATAAATGCAGCAACATTTTGTTCAACAAATTTTTATGAGATGGATATGTATGCATGGGAGGTTAACAAGTATTTTCATGATTTTTATATCGTTGCCAATGAAATGTTTTGGAGAAACAGAGTTCAAATATTTAATACAAACGCATCAAAATAGAATTTCTGCAGTCTTTGAAAATTGCCATAAAATCACTTCAAGTCTCCTTTAATCTAAAATAATGTATGGTTTTGGATCATATGCTGTATGTTGCAATTTAGTACATGGCGCAGACGAAACGTGCTTGCGTTTAAAATGCCCTATAATTAGCATCCAAACATATCACAGAATAATCGCCGAATGTTGTTCATAATAATTATAAGAAAATAAGGGGGATATTTGCAAATGATGTCTAATATTTTATAAAATGTGGTCTATAAGTTTCCAAAGTCTTTCTGAAGGGATTCAGCATTTTATGATTTTATGTACGTCATTGGTAAACGACCCCTCAAAACAAAAGAAGACTTGCTATTTCGAGAATATTTTCATCTCTCTTTTATATATTTTTGGAACAGAAGCATGCCACCATGAGTGATAAACATAACTTTATTTAACTTCATTTATTCATTCATGCTCAACTGAATAAGTCAAAAATAAATGCACCCACAAATTCTTTGAAAATAAATTTATTGGAAGTGAATCTAGAAGATTTTTGTTCGGGATGTATTGTGAGAAATTTCTGGAAAGCTGTAAAAGTTTTATGAATCAGATTATGTTGTAGTGACATTTGACCTTAGTTGAGGTATAAAATTTATAGTCATAAGGTTGATGATTTGATAGCTTCCTAAAATTATAGTTCAACTGATAAAATGTATCAAGAGCTGCGTGTTTGGACAAACAAGTGCAATTTTGGAATTTCAGAAAAATGCATCCTCAAACAAAATGTGTATTTAATTATAACCTCAGGGTATTAAGTCAGTTGTATACGTTCATACACAGACAACAACAATTTTTTTTTCGCAAGAATCCACAGCAATAAATTTATTCAGAGTACATCCAGTCAAAAATATTTCATTAATCACTAAGAAGTTTTTAAAATTTATTTATAAATCTACATTAGCTAATCATAATCAAGCCACATTGCAAAAGTACTCTCATGCCGTGTGATTTAAAAAGGAGACACAAGTTTTCTATATTAAGTAAATCAAATCTCAAATGAATGCTGGTTAGAGAATTAATTTCAAATCGTTCGAATTATCAGCAAAATTGATAGTGATAATGACATATTGTTAGTGAACCGTGTTCATCTAAATTTTTATTTTAGCTCAGCATCATTGTACTTAACTAAATTTATTTGGCTGTGTTGCCACTTTTGATTCTTTGTGTTTGTGGCTCACATGAATCCATTCATTATGGTGAAAAATATTCTAGACAAGATCATATGTTTTAAGGCAGAATTTCTTGTAAACATGATATGATAATAAAGTCATCTGATTGCACGGAAAGCGAGACTTTCTATGATAATTGCAATAAATAAAATATGACTAATGATTGACACGATTTAAGATCTCTATAATAATTTCGAAAACCGGAATTCACATATTTTTTTTTTGCTTATCACAAATCCGCTACATATTCTACACTGCTATCAAGTACTTGAGTTTTTTTTTTTTTCAGAGGAGAATTATTCTTACTTTTTTTCTACATATTCAAACTAGTCTGAAACTTTAATATGTGTTTGTATTAAAGCGCATCCAGAGTTTCATTTTTTCATATCGTACATGTCCCTATCCTCACCACTTTACTCAAGATGCACTGTTTGGAGGAAATTTAAGTCTAGCTATCTTTTGAAGAGCTAAGGCTGTGGAATAACAAACTATTCTCATTACAAAGTTTATTTGTAAGAACAAAGCCAGAAAACAAAAACTTTAAGCGATTTAAATTAATCATAAATCTATCCAGTTATCTCCTTCTGATTCTGACAAAAATGATCATTCATTAAAATATTGAAATACTAATAACTTAATTTGTCAATTTTTGTCATCATTTGACAAGACAGAACGCCCTCAAAAAACCCCCAAACTTATAAAAATCACGTTCAAATTATAAAGCATCTCTATAAGCTTGACAAATTCACAATGTATGCATTTTTCTCATTTAGTCTAGTATCTACTTTTAGTGATCTACTTTAAACATTTTTAAATGCGTGAAATTATTCCGTCAATTTAAAAGATAATGTGAGGGTTGGACTCTTATTAGGCACATCTGGATTGTCTTATAGAATTATAAACTTCAAAGGGGTTTTCGAAAAAAAATCCAGTGAAAAATGGAAAAAATTCAACAATGTTGCGAAAATTGCGGGCACAAGATGTCACTCAAAATTGAAATAAATTATTTCCGCTTATGTACTTTTTTCCAGGAGGTAATCTAGCATAGAGTCTTTATCAATTTTTTTTTTTAAATTAAAGCACAACAAATTAAGAAATATTTTCGAGAGATAATCAAAAATAGAGCCGAGATGCTCTTTGAAAATGACGAACTGAGAACGTCAAAGAATTTTTATCAGGTAGAATTATATGTGGAATTTTTAAGAGGTCTTACACTTTTAAAAGAGAGAACTTCCGAGGTCGTTCATTAATGACATTAAGTTGAATCTGTTGTCTCAATAAATTTTAAAACAATTTTGAATTTCAATCATTCATTCACAAATAAAAATATTCAAATACTTTTAACATTTCCATCTCATCGATCACACAATAAACCTCACAACAGTCATAGACATCAAACATCTTCAACGATACAAACTATACAAAAAGCAAACAAGAGAGCGAGAGAACAACGACAACAGGCCGATGCACTCTCAGAATATATTTTCGCTCATGTTGCGATCACATTTTCACAAAAAATGTCATTTGTGTAAGAAACTTTTGTTCTTATCGCTCATAAGACTGATCTTCAAACTACAAATTGCAGCATAGTAGACAGTGACCGCAATCATTAGAAAGATTGAATAGAAAATTGATTAATTAATTAGAACGGATTTAAATGGGGACAGTGCTCCAAACACTGTCACAATAAACACAAAGTATTATTCAATCAGAAAATGAAAATTGTCTCTCAAAAGGCACTCTACACAGTTCAACGTGTTGGATATGCCGCATTGTGCGTTCTGAGAAAATAATATTTTTCATATTGTTGCTTCAGTTTTGATTGAGCTGTTCGCTTTTACGGACGTGAATTTAAATAACGAAAAATAATATTTTAGTGATTTTTTTTGTGGATGTAAAGTGGAATAAGGTGAAAAGTGTTATACTTGCAAAATTTTTGTACTTCGATTTGATGAAAACAATTAAATTGAAAATAAAAAAAAATTAATTGAAAATCAAGTAAATATTTGAATATTCATAAAAACTTGTTATTTACAACTGTGCATTTATTATTTTCATTACTACTGATATCGACTTTTATTGTATTCAAAAAAGTGTTCTATGAAGATTTATCGCTTAATTCTTTCAATTTCATTTTCCGGATCGCGACAGAAACTGCATAAATCCATAGATAAATATAAAGTGAATGAATAAATCGCATCTTCAATTCATTCATTATAGCATCATAATGCACATCTACATTCATTTGATATTCAGAATTTCTATTAATAGAATATTAAGTCTCAAGTCTCGAATGTGTGTAAAAAGATTTATTTTTATTCAGGCATGCTTGCGAAAATGCTGAAAAAAAATGGAATCAATTTATCAAACAATTCAACTTTTTTTTAAATCATTTAAATTGCTGTACTTAAATAAAGATTTTTGTAAAGAAATCATGTCACATCGCGTGTATGTCTCAGAACATTTTTTTTAATGCATGAATGAGACTGTTGTAATACTGAGAGGAAATGAAAACATCAACGAATAAACAAATATTGTAATGATCTTCATTATGTAAAATGTTTAAAAAAAAATTGATACATACTAAAATATTAAGTTATTTAAAGTGAGAAAGATGAGGTGACTTTAAGTGAGGTTTATGTGTATTATTATATTAGTTTATGTGAATTAATTGAAGATTGACAATCTAATAGATTTTAGAGTATTTAAGTTTTGACACAAGATATTTTTTTAAATTTTAATAGCTCCATATCCAATAATATCTCGGATGTAAAAACACTTTATAATCTATTAATATATTACCGATTTTTTTGATAAAAAGAAACCAAATCTTCAATTCCAGAACTAAAAGAATATGAAACATTATTATCTTATCAAGCCGATATAATGCATTAATTTTGTCACAAACCTGCGAAATTCCTATTTAAGCAGTTCGCATTTCCTCAGATCGTTTGTTGCTCAAAAACATTTCAAAACTCCATGAAGTTCATTGAATTTTCACATAGTCTTGCGACTCTAATAAACTAAAACAGTGCAAATTTCAATAAATTTATAATCATTTGTTAAGATTTGATGAATTAAAAACGTCAAGGCGAGAATTCTTTATCGCCATTCAAATAAAATTCTCTCAATTTACACAAAATTATTGTCTAATGCATTAACAGATAGGAAATAAAAATTATAAATTTAAAATATTTATTTGAATGAGTAAGACAGCGTCAATTGATTAAAAAGAAGAAGAAAAAAAAAACAAAAAAGCATGCGCGAGTCTGATTTAAGTGGATTAAGAGTATGATACACAGCCATATCATGAATGCGGGTAGTTTAATTTGATTTATTTTTTTATGAATGAAATTTTGGAGTTCGTGTCGTCAACCCATATCTAAAAGTTCTTGTGACTATTTTTATGTAATTTTTTATCGTGTATATGAGAATTATTGCATATTACTTTTGGGAAATTCTAAGACTTCACGTCTACTAAACTATGACTACTAATATGACATAATCTGTGCAACAGGTGATTAAATTGGAAATTCTAATCGTTTCGTTTTAAATTAATACTTATTCGCGAAAAATTTATTGATTTCTACTGATTTGATACAAAATATTATACCGTTGATGCTTCACATTTAGGACCGAAAATTAAAAGCTAATCAGTTCCATAAAAGTTATTTAATTTTCTACGCTTCATTTTAAATCTGTCAATAGTTCTATAATGACTCATTTAGATAAAAAAAATTGTTTTTTTAAAAACAACAGCTTTGCGAAAATTGTAAACATGTAGATAATTCAAATCGGACTTAATGCATTCCAGAGAGAAAAGATTCTAATGAATACTGATAATACTGAAATTTAAAAACAGTTTTCTGCAAATGGATATGGGGTCGTTCACTTATGACGTCCAAAATTAACGAACGTTTTTCAAAAAAAAACAATGGATTTCCAGGAATTACTATTGTTCTTTTTTTGCTGAGCCCCCCCCCCCCCCCCCTGGACGTCATAAGTTAACATAGGGGCCGATGATGACGCAATTACTTGACCAAGTCATTGATGATGATGAGTTTTTAGAATTTTAAGCTTTGTTGAAATGGTAAAAATAAGTTGTTTTACTGTTTGTTGTCAAGGTTTTGTTTCCAACAATGAAAATTGACTTTTTAAAGTAAAGTAGCGAAAATTTCCAATTACCAAAACCAAAAGGATAATTCTACAGTATATTTAAATAAACTTAATAAAGTCATTAGCCTTAGTGTCTAGTTCGGTTTGTTGTTTATTCTAGGAACTTCAAAAAAAAAATTGAAATTAAGTCTCCTAACAATCAAAACAACTTGTTTCTATTGCTGTCATTTTACGAAAAGAAGTTTAATATGAATTTTAAATTACTGCGTTTGTATTGACTCAATTAAGTCACTTTTGAAACCTTAATTAAAATTGAAATTATTCGAAATACAATAAACAAATACAGATTTGAATGGAAATGACGACTTTCGTTCGTAGTTTGATACCTTCCAAGCATGCTTGATATAATAAATATTTTAATTTTCAATCAGATCGTAAATTAAAAAACGAAAATTAATTTTCCCAGCATACGAAAATAAGTCTATAAAAAATCATTCATGATATTAAGTAATTAACAACAATTTTAAACTTCAATTATCTTCATTATTATTTGTTATTGAGCTTTACATGATTTAAATTGCAAACATTTCAAAATAATTGAAATTCAGATGAGTCAATACGATTTAGAAGCTGATTAGTAAGTTATATCTTGGAAATGTTATTTTCACAGTCGATTTTTAGTCAATTGAAAAATATTTTCACTTCAAAAACTTATTTTTGAGGTAAAATTTCGTAAACAAATTTAAAGAATTTCGTTCGTTTATTGATAGCCACGTGGATTTCAGTCACGAGTAGTGATTCCTAATTAAAGAACAAACCTTCATGAAAACTTGTAAAATGGAAATTTCTAATTGAAAGTTTCTTATCTGCCTAATTAATTATATTAGAGATGAATTCCTTATCCAATTTTTACTTCATTATAATCCATCGATCAATCAATCATTCACAAGTTTATAGCTACTTATTAATTCAGAATTATAATTATTACTTGTACTATTGAATACCGGTTGCTAAATCAATTTAACGGAGGTCAGCATTCAGCCCTTTGCTAGTAACTCTATTGTATTATTGTTTAAAGTAAAACAAAAGGACATCACAATTGTGTTAATTTGTAGGAAGTAAAGAAATATGTCAGGCATTAATAGAAGAATTTATTACTCATATTTATTCATATTCACGCATTTCTTCCCTATTAGTGGCGCTGTTTCTATTGAAATAAGTAATTTATTCTCGCCTGAGTGTGAAACGTGGAGTGCCGTTGCTCTATGCATTATTTGCATCTTGTTCTGTCTGTTTTGAATAATTGCAACTAGGTTCGAGTCTGAATAAATATTTTTCATTCCAGTCATGCAGGTTTAAAATTAACTTCGTTAATGATTATCAATAATTTCAAATTATTTTAGTCTGTACGCCTGTGATTACTTTAGGGTGCTAGATAGAAGTGGAAATTTGAGGATATAATTCAAATTAAATCTTAACAGAATGCAAAACATAAACCCTTTTGTCAGTTATGAACAAAACTTACATTACATTCGTAAACCAAATCAATGATCTTCGAACATAAAATCTTAAAAGGTTAGAAAATCAAAAATGATCAGCCAAATTAACCTTTAATGAAACTTCGTCATAAAAAATTATAAACTACACCTCAATTCACAAGTAGCAATCAGGCCATGACTACCGTTTAACCATGTTCGAGACAATTCTCTGCATTTCCTAATGTCAGCTACCAAACACACAAAGAAAATACTTCTTTTGGGTCAAAATTAATGCACTTGAGCTCATGTAGACATGCACATGCTTAAAAAAATTGAATTTTTTGTTGTTTTTATTATTAAAGATAATTTATTTATTACTTCAAGACACGAATTTATGTCTTGCGATGTTAGATAGATTGAGAAACACTTCGTTTTTTGATGCAAACTTGATTTAACTTTTGCATGCTCATATGGTTACAATTAAGCATGACAAAACTTTTAAGTAGCCACACTAATGTGATTTAATGGATATAAAAATCAAGATCTAAGTTTTAGTCAAAATATTCATCTGCATTTTTTTCCATTTACATTGACGTCTTCTGAGCTGCATATTTTCTATCATGCACAATTTTGCGTAGTGCATGTGAGTCATTAATTAATTGAGAACGAAAAAAAAAACAGCAAACAACTGCGAGTAAATAACATTCTCAATTTTTTTCTCATTAAATCTCATCAATACACTTGTTTAATTCAAATTTAATATGAAATTGAGCTAAGAAATTATTGTACGACTTGCAAATATTTTCATGTGTGTTGCTGAAAAATCTTTTCTCATTAGACTCAGAGCACTCTAGCTGCTGTTTAAAATGCCAGTTGCTTTTCTATCGCGCAACGAGAAACACGCGAAATTCAACAAGTGTTAAAAATATAAAAGTGAAAAAAAGTATGTAAAAGTAAGCTTCTTAATGTGATTTTAATGTCATTAAAAGTGAGATACTAGATGTAAGATTCTGTTAATTTTTCGAATCAATAATTAATAAAATCCAGACTTTTAATATTACAAATATTCTGTGCATAAGTGATAATAATAAAACTCTGATTTATAAATACACAATAATCTCAAAAAGTAGCAAATGTTCTTAACCCAGAAACAATTTCTCAAGATCATTTTCTGAATATGTTTTTGTACTAAAATGTTGCACGCACCTGAGAACTCTGATGTCAGCATGAAGTTTTAATAAATTCAAATAAATATTGAGATGCGGCATCAACACGTGTAAATAAAGTTTGATAATAAATTTCAATCATTTTTAATCAATAAATTGATGAGATTTTCATGATTTCGTAAGTCAGTAAATGCAAACATCAGAAATGCGCAAGTTGTACGTTTAGATGAATCATTTAAACGTGATTAATATGCAAAAAACAATTGAATGTTCTTACTTGAATGAAGATATTCTAAACCAAGATATTTCCCAATTGACAGATGTTATTTCATTTGACTATGCTGCAATAATTTGATAGTATTATGTAAAGCAGGATCTTCAATTTTAAAGATGAACAAAACTTTGTAAAATTTTTTGTATTCCTGAAAGAATAAACATTCCTGTTTTCTTCCAAATCTTCATTGTTATATAAATATATTAATAAATTTTTTTTGAAGTCAATTTCATTCTGATGTAACCATTCTCCAAATGTCACTGGACAAAATGGGATAATTTTGCTGAATGGTTTGTTATTTATTTTTAACGTTTTTCTTTGCAAAGTATAGAATAGAATTTTCCATTTAAATTAAGCACATTAAAATGAACAATACATTGTCAAGGTGCCTTTATTGTAGCCATTATTGACAACATTCAAAGAATAATTTTCAATAATACATAAAATTTGAGACGTTTGAGCGAGCTCGTAAATTAGGTGTGTTGGTCATAAAAAGATCAATGCTCTTGCATCTTATAAACAGAATTAAAGGAATATTGCATCTCAAAAATATTTATTTTTGATTTTAAAGCAATAAAAACAAGTTAGGACAAACATCAAGTTGATTTAAGTTTTTTGATTTTTGAATTTTAAGCTGCATGCTTAAAAATGAGCAAGACAATCAAATTAAAATCAAATGATTCAATTCGCTATGATTTTAAATTTAATTCTTAAGAAGCCTTAATAAGATTATAATATTTGACTTTGTTGCTATGTATTCATCATTCTCTCAGTCTAATTAAATATATCAACCACTATACATGTCCAATCTCATACCAAATGGTATTAATCTTTCATTTCAAAAATTCTGAATACCAAAATAAAATTAAATGAAAGCAATTTTTTTCAATGCTTTCAGAACGTTAAAATGATGATTCATTAAAAAAATTACTCATTAACTCTACATGTTCTGCTTTTTATAGCTACAAGGCAACAATATTGAAGCAAATTTACAAAGCTGATAAATAATTTGTGATAAAAAAAAAACAGTTCATAAAGGAAGAGCACATCGTCATTTAAAGTTTTTTAAACTACATTAAAAAGCTATATTACACATATGATAAAAATCACACATGAATTATTTATAAATACAGTGCAATTATTCAAATAATACAGTAACACAAAAAAATTGGAAAAATGGAAATAAACCACGACGATTCACATCGTATTGATATAAACTTTGAAAATATTGTCTATTCTGTGCCGGTGCCGAAGCAAAAAGGTAAGTAGCAATAGTTCAACTTTACCTTACATTTTTAAAGCAGGGTTTTTACTGTCGAATTGCATTTTATTTAGAATTTTAATAATAATGTTCTTTAAACTAGTGAACAGCCTGTGGTGAAATAGAAATAAATTCTAGAAAATCCCATCTATAACATATTAAGAATTTCCGAATGATCATGCTTAGAATGCATGATTTGTGATCTGAAGTTATATATTTGTTAGAATTGGAAATACCAATTATAAAAAATAAATTAAGAATATGTAAAGTTAAGTGCGATAGTTGAAAGGTAACAAGTAAATTAGGAAAAGTTTCTTTAAAGTAATTTTAGTAAATTCCAACCTCCATGACCGTAAACGATTATTACATAACCTTTAAAGTTCCACAATATTCCCAAACTAAAGTGGATTAGAATATATATTCAAAATTCTTAGAAAAACAGATTTAATTAAAAAATCTTAACGCAAAATCTTCAGTTTGCAGTATCATTCATAATAAAATAATTTTAATGATTACAAGTTGAATTAAATCCATTTACGATTAAGTAACTTATAATATCATAAATATTAGTTCCAATAATCGTTGAAGCATTGCAGTTGAGAATCAACTTGTTGCGGACGACCGTGAAGCCGATCACATATACGTTTATGGTCAATAAACATCGACGATCGTATTTTTTGATGTTAGCTAAGACCATGGCATTGCACCATGAAAAATAATCTATGACATGTAAATGTTCCATTCATAAGCTCAGTTCATTCATACGGACTAGATCGTTTATGTCATAAGACATCATTTAAATTGCACTTATGCAACGCACTTGATTTAAAATAATGTAAAGAATAAACGTGAAAGAAAGTAAAGAGAAATTAGATTTAAGCATAGTTATTGAGCAGCCAGATGCAGTTTTGCGGCAAAACAATTCAATGCGTGCACGGAGAAAATTTTCTCATGACACTAATTAACTTCTTTATTACAAATTTTCATTCTATTCTAATTGCAGTTTTTCTCTTATATCATTTGTTTTAATTATCTTCCTACAATTCTGCCCATATTACGTACCAATTAATCTCGTAATGAAATGATGTTAAGGTCCGTAATTATCTATCTTTTTATTTTCAAATAATTAATGTTTTTAACGTGTTCTATCACACATTTTAAAAATATGCACATATCTGAGCTTGTTCGAACAGAGTATCGTGCAGCTTAAATATTAGAATGAAGTCAGTAAGTCAATCAGCTGATAATAATTGAGTCTAAGGTTAAGTCATATGCACTTTCATTAAGTATAGAATTTTTATTTTATTTGCTAAATATTGGTAATGAATAGGATGACCATCTGCGAAGTTTTGGCGGGAAAATATTATTTTAAAATATAAAACGTATGATTCAGCTTGAACTATTCTTCATTGATTTTTAATTAAGTGAAGAAATTCTCATTTACATGTCCAAAGATTCTAATTACTAATCCTAACCTCACCAATCATTCATGATAGTCAACCTTAACATTAAACATTATTGCAGATCACTTACTTGCTAGAATTCATTCACTCGTGTTGAGAAATCGTACAGACTTGACTTAAATTCACAGCTAAGGTCAATTGTAGAATTTTTTTGTGCATTTATGCAGCTGAGTGGCATCACGATTCTTTTTTTCCAACACAAACATGTTTTCTATTTGCTTGTGATGTGGAAATTTTTTTTTTAATTCTTTGTGTTTGTACGACTTTATGAACATTTTAAAGTTTGCTGTGGCGGTAAAATGCATTTAATTAGAATAAAAAACTTTGTTGACATTTGTTAAGATTCATATGAGGTAGTCTAATATTTACTAGATTAATATTTTGTTGCACAATATTCTTAATTGCATTTCCATATTTTCCTGCTTGATTTGTTAACACTATTCGTATAGTCAGAAGTTTTAATAAATTAAAAGGTTTGTTGATGATGTAAAAATTTGCAAGCTTTTCAATTGATTGATTCTTAGTATATTGATCATTGCAAAATTAATAAATTTAAAGGACAAATTTTAAAAAAAATCTCTGTCATCAATTATCATCTTTATTCGTTTCTAAAAGATGACAATGCTATATTTCTGAATAAACCTTAAAGACCTTTTTTGTTCTACGAGAAATTCCCCAGCAATAAAACAGTTTTTATTGTTTTACATTCGGTTGTTTTAAGAAAAGAAGTTTATTTCTTAAGAAACAATTTTATTTTAAGAATGGAAGTATTTACTTCAGATGCTTGAATCAAATATAGCTGCGGAATTTCCAAAACTGAATTCAATATATTTTATATCTGGCATTTTTTAAATATTCACACTAGTGCTCATTTCTATAAGCCCTATGCTAGAGCTAGCTTAAACGTTAAACAAATAAAAATTTAAAAGTTCTAACATGTTAGCTGATGTGAACAATTTTTGACTTTTTATACAATGTTATTTCCCAGTTTACATTTAAAAGGAATCAAATTGAGATTTGGTTTCATTCAAATTATCGAACGTTTTATTTATTATTGGGAATTTTCAATCTGTTTGGTGAATTTATAGTTCTGAGATTGATTTAAAATAGATCATAGATCATGATAATGTCAATCTATTATATTTAAAAGTTTTAATATTTCTTTTAGAAAAAGGTTTTTGCTCCTTCTTCTCATAAAAGTTTTAATCTCCTGACAACAATCATTTTGAACTTCAAATTCTAAGTCTTCAAAATTGCATGAGATCAAAAACCGTAAAGTAATTCAAAACTAATGATCCAAGCAACAAACCACTTAATGATCAAAGGATGACGGCGTAAGAAATATTTTGAAGAATTCATAGGACTCCTGTTTGAAAAAACAATAAGAATTCGTAGCTTATTTGCTTAGTTCATTAGACATCTGCTAAGTATTCTTACTATTATAATATGAATGTTATAGACTTAGAAAATGGGATTTTCCTGAAGTTTGTGGCTTCAAAATATTTGCATAAATCATTTAATTTTGATATGTCTCCAAACACATGCAATATAATTCAAGAATTAGTTATTGCGATTGCTGCACACTCAATCAAAGTTCAAAAAGATTTACTCAATTGAAAATCATCTCAACAGCTTAAATCATCGAGTCTTGTATTCATAATTAGAAAGAAGAGTGTCCGTGTTTATTTAGATGACTAGAAAGAATTTGATGAATATTTTTTATCCACGATTATTTGGTAAAATCAGAATATAAATGCCGGGAAAGAATTTAGAATAAATAATCATATGTTGACAAAAACATTTTAATGTTTATGACGAAACTGAAAATATTTTATTGCAGCCTGCCAATCTTTTAGTGCCAAATAAAAAAAAATTAGCGATTCATAAAAATATTTTGGTCAACAACTCTTGACTGATTAAACATTTTTGGCGGTAAAAAATGTTTTCTAAGTTGTTTGATGAGCTCCTTAATAATGAATTAGCTTCTCTATTGTGAGTCAACCAGACATTAAATTTGAATAAGAAGTTAATATCTCATAAGAGAATAATCACGACATATGACTGGAGCATCAACACAATCAATATAAAATTCATAGAAACTTAAAATATATGCATAAAAAGTGCACTTATAAAAATTATTAATGTTCCCATAACTAATGAATCAAAAGTTTTTTTTTATCAATACAACAATCGCATAAAAAATGTACTTGCATACAGCGATAATTCTTATAATTACTCATCAAATATTTTATACACGAATTTTTAACTAAGGCACAGTTTATGTGATTGAAATATTTAATTAACTTCATTGATGTGCAAATAAAGTTATGCAAATCTGTTTTACGCTATAGACAGTTTAAAATATCATATTAATTAAATTTAAATCTACAGGGAAGTGAGAAGAATCGAAGGAAAAATATTTAATCAAATATGACTAGTTTTAGATTTTTTTTTTTGTAGCTTTCTCTGGTGGGAAGCTGTGAGAAGTTAAAGACGCAGTTGATTGATGCTGTCTGAATTGAATTTGATGACATCTCAGTCCTAACATTTATTTTTGTCATTCACTTGTTAGAAGAGTGTAGCGAGAGATTTTCTAGAGACGAAGATTTTAACAAATTCAACAAAAATGATTTCCTCTTAAATTCTGAGCATTTTTTAATATTATCTTCTATAGAATATTAATCGTCAATATCCCACGTAGTAATTTAAGCGCAATAACATTTTTTGAATTACGTCTATTCTAGGGGTTCCAGAATTCCCGTTCCCATAAGATTTCGGGAATCGAAACGGGAACGGGAATGATGCCCGGGAACGGGAATATTCCCGGGAATCAACAAAAAAAAAAGTTAAAAGCTACACTTACACCATGTATTTTCTTTAGGTTTTTAAATCAAATTTAAATTCTATTTGTTTTGATTGTCAAATTGATTCTTTTGACAATAATTTCCGTTTGAAATTCAATTCTTTTTGGTTTTAGAACAATTCTTAAAGTACGATTTTAACTGGTCTAGCAATCTAGTGCGATTTTTTGAGACAGTATTATTAGAGATTGAAAAGTTACGTTCAGCTCTTGTAGATGTTGGTGGATTCCAGAAATATTAATTTCCAGCACGTTTTTTTTATTTTGGAAAAATTACTTTAATCCAATGTCAATTAAGTTTATTATTTTATGGACATCACACATTTAAAAAATATTTTTAAATACTCTTTCTCTTCGTTTTTCATAAATATATGTTTTTGATTTAAAAAACATCAAATTTGGTGTCCATCAAGTAGAACGGTTAGGCTAGATAAAAATATTTCGTTTATTTTATTTGATTAAGAAACATTTGCACAAATTACTGACCAAGTTTAAACAATTTTCGTTAAGCCTTGTCAGATTTACAGTCGAAAGTGTTAAAAGTAAAAAATCGGCCCTAGCTCCGTTTTCAGATGCTCATATCTCAGAACTTGCAACTTCACAAAATTTAAAAAAGATATTTTCTGCTTTCACAAAATAGCACAAAAAACCCATATATAGTCCATCACTCAATTCGT